GGGGGGGGGGGGGGGGGGGGGTGGCACAGGTATGGCTCTCTGGTTGGCCCCCGAGAACAGGCAGGGCCACACTGCTTCCCTCGTTAGGGTCACATGAGCACACAGTGGCGCCAGGACACACTCCATGAGCTGATTACGAATATGCGAAGTCCTGTTTGCCTGGCATGCAGCAGGCACTTAATAAGTGTTCATTGACTAAATTGTAGCACATGTGACACGTGGCTACATTTGGAAGAGTGGTGGGGGAGAGAGAGTCAACAACTTCGGTGTAAGGGGCCTCCTTTGCTCCTGCTCCCTGCCTACTCCCGCGGCCCCATGGATGATTCAGGGAGGAACGTCCCCCAGGCTTGTGGAGTCAGAAGCCCTCACTCACCAGGATTAGTTTTCCGGATTTCGCTGTATACCGTCTCTGTGCCCTTGCTTTCCAGACCTGGAAAGCAATCAAGCACAGGTCAACAGCTGCATCTGGGCACCGGGTCGGCCCACTGTTGAAGCAAGAGAATGTCTGAGGCTCCCTGCTTGCCCACGACCCCGCCCCACGAGTGCCCGTCTCCAGCAGGCCCTGGAGACCTTATTGCCACTAAGCCCAGGCCATCTCCTGGCTTTCCAGGATCCTGGTCTAAGTAGCATCACTCTCAGCCTGGAAGTATGAGGTCAACAGGCCATGATGAGGGCAGGTCCACCTGCCCCAGGGGAACCCTAGACCCAAGGGTCTGTAGGTAGAGGGGTTCCCAGCATAGGCCTGCAGCCTCCTGCTCAGTGGTCCCATCCCCCCTTCCCTGCCAGTGTGCCCCCGTGTCCAAGCTCCCTCCCAGGAGGCTGGGCTATGACTTCCCAATCACCTGAGGTCTGGGTTAGAGCCTGGGCACCATCGTGATGTTAAGGACGAGCTGCGACTGAGAACCACTTGAAATCTTGAGAGCTGGGCTAGTTGATTTCAAATGCCAGCACATGGGCCTCATTCTGACTCTGACTAGCTCTGGATTGGCCCGGGTATTGAGGGGTTTTAAGAGCTCCCAGGGGGTTTCAATAGGCAGACAGGGGTTGAGATCCTTTGGTCTGGACTCGTTGGGACCGGCAGACAGATGACCAGCCAGGGTATGGATTACATTCAGAGGAGACCCAAGGTTTGGAAGACAAAGCACCCATATGGTCATCTGTTTAAGTTGAAGTGTATATACCGGTTGTATATACACACACATGTACACACACTCGTAGTGCATCTACATGCACTGTATGCATACATAGAGCGTGTACACACACAGCATGTGCAGACATACACACCCATAGATCCTCAGGAAACAGGATGGGCCCCCACTGCTTCCCCCACCTCCTCTCACCTGCACAAAGGACAAGGAAGCCTCACTGTAGAAAGGTGGCTCATACCATGAGTCCAACATTCTCCTACAGATCTGGAGACGAAGCCCCAGACCGGGTAAGATGCTTCCTGCCACCATGCTCAGTGCCATGTTATTTCTCTTGGTGGCAGATGGCTGGGGCATGTCCGTGGACTCTAACTGCAAGATACCCTTGACTCCCTCAGCTCCGGGGATGTCCTCTGACCCTAAACATACCCTTCCACAGCTGGCACGGCCCTTTCTCTTTGCCCCACTCCTCCCCATCCTCCAAGTCTCAGGACAAGCTTGGGGTACACACACCCTTACACACCTACATACGCCCTAACACACTCACCCCTTCCTGGCGCCCAGGGCAGGTGCATAGGCCCCCTGTACTCCCATGGCAGTTTGGGGACACTTGCTCACAACCACACTGATGTTATTTGTCCCCACAACTTTCTCTCCCCTGATAGGCCTGGAGCTCCTCGTAGTCATTGCAGTTACCTGGGGGCACCGGTAAAGGTTTCATGTGACAGTGACGGCACCAGGCAAGTGCTTGCAGGTGCCTCTATCTCAGGTCCCCTGAGCTTCAGGAAGGCTTTGGCATGATCAGTTTGCTCCCTGAGGTTTTAGATCTTAGGATTAAAATCATGGTTGTTCATGAGACACTGTATGGTGGTGGTTCCCCTGCCAGGACCTGAACACCAGGACAAAGCCTGGGAGATGGTTCAGATACCAGCAGGTGAACTTGGGACATTTGGGGAGGCCAGGCCCTTGCACAAGGCTTTAAATGGGTTCCCCCCTCTCCCTCCAGGGAACCAATCAGGAGTTGGTACTTGCTAGAGTGGCTGAGATACCAGGCCCCACTCTGCTCAGACACCTGCCATTCTCTAAGAGGCCTATACCACTCCCCAGGCTCCCTCCGCAGCACCAGATTTGGGGGTGTAGAGGGAAGCTCCAGGGATTCCCATATCTCCTGGGCATCTGTCACATTCCCAAGGGATTCTGCTCAATGTCAGGCTGGGCAAGCCACTCATTCAGTATGATCCTACTGTGTGCTGGGTATGGTGGAAGGTGGAGGCAAAAGGCGACTCAGACAGGAGCTTTTGGGAGCCCCAGGCCATGGAGCAGACAACGCTGTGATGAGCAATATAGGACACTTTACACCCGGCACACAGGTCCCTGCAAGCTCATCCTCTGATCCTGCCCCACAATGGGAGCGGGGGCCATGGGGAAGGAATGGAGGGAAGGAGCTGGGCTACCCATGTGGGGGCCTGGACACCCTTGTAAGCTCCACCACCTCCCGGAACACAAGGGGTGCTGGTAGACCTCTCTGGTCACCTTGGGGACACTCTAATACCCTCTGGACTCAAGAGCCGCACTTGACTCCCTTCCTCCTTATAACTGCAGATCAGCCTGTTGGTTTCCATCCCTAGAGGTGCCTCCTGCTGCCCCCCTGTTCTGCCCCTCAGTGATGGGCGGGGGCTGGCCCCTCATCACCACCTCCCCTGCTCAGCAGCTGCCTGCTAATGACTAACCCAGGCCAGCAGGCTGTTTGTCTCTGCTGTCAGGGATGTTTCCGGATGGCGCTTTATTTTGGCTCCTGTTTTTCTCTGTTAACAGAGAAAGAGATGGCTTCAACGTCATGGGGTTTTCCCAGCAATTAGCCTCAGAGCAAACAAGCAACAAACCGGTTTAACGAGTTCCTTCCCACCCCGCCTCCATCCATCCCCGAGTGACTCCTTGGGCAGCTGCCCGGTCAGAGTCAGAGCCGGATTCGGTTCCCAGCCCCTCCTCCACCCCAGCTGTAGAAGACAGAGCCTTGAAAACAGGGAACTAGATTGGCCAAGACCAGATCAAGTTTACTCATCACTGGCCTTGAACCCACAGAGCTCTTTCCTCACCCACCAACTCCAGGCCAGGCCTGCACTACCCTGATGTCCTTTAGCACCAAAGAGGCTGTGTCCAGAAAGCTCAACTTGAATCTTCCAGAAACTCTCCATTTCCACCCACGCGGCACTCATTTTAGCTCTCCCGGGGCCCCTGCAGCCTGGGGGAAAGTAACCACTTGGTTACCTGCACACGCTTGTCAAGGAAAGCTTCCCTCCTCACCCTGTCCTAGGGTCCTTTTCCCTTGAAAGCCCCGCCACCACCTTCAAGCAAGAAAAAGAAAACCAGACACTCTAACATGGAAACGTTCCCAAAAGAATGGAAAATCGACGCTTTTCCAAGGAGAAACCCTGCTTCCTTTCTCGTTCAGCTACCTCAAATCCAAACCCTCCCAGGCATTGGGCAGAGCGCTCACGATGCCACCTTGCCCTGGCCTGGCTGGCGACAGAGCAGGGGCAGGGCCTGGTCCACTGTGAGAAGCTTCAGGACCTCGAGGCCATGGCCGGGGGGCAATCACTGTCTGCCTGAGTGCCCAGTGGAGTTTGGAGGGTCAATGGGGACAGCAGAGTTTTTCCACACATCATCAAAATCACGGGGCGCCCTGACTTCTTGTTCCTCTTTTCTTTTGAGTCTGAAGTCCCCTTAAAGGGATGTAAGCTGCTACTCACATGACTGGGTCCGAGTGATGAAGGGGCATTTGCACTGGGCTTTGGTGGGACCAGAGGAGGTTGGAGGGGAGTCCCCTTCCAGACCCTGTAGCCAGAGCCGACCCAGACTCCATTCTGAGCACCAGAGCCCTGTGCTGTCTCCTCTTGGGCATCTCATACTTAACCCAGCTGAGCCCGCTGTTCCTCCCTGTCTCAGACATGATGACCATCTTCATAGTTGTCCACTCACACAACCTGTAGTGATTCTATCTCCATGGTCCTTGCCATAAAATTCACCCAGTGTTGTGACGTCTCTAAAACAGATCTCGAACCCACCACTGCCAGCGCTTCGGCCTCGTCCTCATCCCTTGTTGCCCAGTGTTAACACACGGGTCTCTCTGTCTCCATCCCTGTCCCCTTTCAGTCTGTCCTCTGCACCAGCCACAAGGAACCTGTCAATTTCCTGCTGAGAGGGCGTCCAAAGGCCCTCTGCTCCACTGAGACTAGAATTGCAAAGGGGACCTCCGAGGTCCCGCAGGCCACACATGTACCTTTGCTACTTGCACAAGGGCTGGTCCATCAAGGCCCTTCACTTGTTAACAGGCAAACCACTTTACAATGAAATAGCAAGGAAGAGAATTTCAGGCCTGTCATGGCCGCCACCGTTCCCAGGTCCAGTCCAGACTTGGAAGTGGGATGCCCTGGGTAGCCATGCAGATCAGGGAGTACCAACTGCAGGGGCCACAGACTGTGAGAACAGTGCCCCACTGGCAGCACACAGCCTAGGGGCCTTTGGGGGCTGCCTTACCGAAAGAGTCTGTGCACACAGCAGCTGACATGGTACCCAGAACCTAAGCAAGGGAAGGAAGAAGGAACCTAAAACTCTCCCCAAATCATGGAGCCAGAGAGATGCCATTGCCTTGTGGCTCTGGTCAAGGCCTGGTCTGGAAAACAGCCCTCAGCTTGCCAGGCAGAATAGACACAGCGGAGGCCTCAGCCTCAGCAGGAAGGGAGAGGGGGTGCATGGCAATAGCCCTAATGAGCTGCCCAGAAGGAGAGGAGGGCTTTGGATGGCTCCTTTGAGTGCAGGGGTCTGTGGGAGACCGAGGCTAGAGGAGAGCTAGGAAGATATACATGGTTTTCTGTGGGACCAATAGCAACCGAAATTGTTGTTCTAGCATTTGCTATGGACCAGCCCACTCTAAGTATCGGTCAGTACAGAGCCAGAACTAGGGACCTCCAGGCCACCTTCCCCTGAGAGAACCACACACATGAAAACAAAACCTGAAGCGTGACGCTAGTGCCACTGTTTACACAGCAGGGTACTCTGTGCTTTCAAAAGCCTTTCCCCAAGTGTCCCTTTAAAGAGCCAAGCCCTCACTACCTTCAAACATGCATTTCATTTACACGAGCTCAGTGTGCAAGCAGCTTTTTAAGGAAGATGCTAGGTTTGGGCAGGAACATACCTCTGGAGGAAAGTCCACATGCCCAAGGGTGAGGCTGCCCTCAAAGTCTCTCAACAAACACATTTCTTAGCACTTAGTAATTGCTCAATAAAACTTACTCATGACTACTAGTAAGGTAAATAACAAGTAATGAAATTTTACACCTCAAAAGCCTAGGCGGGGGATCATTGCTCTTGCCGTAGGCACATCTAACAGGTCTGTCTGCTGACCACCTCCCTTCTGACCGACTGAAGGGACCCTTGTCCCTGGATCATAGCACACCTCACCCTGGTGTCTACACCCAAACAGAGAGCAAAACATGAGGAATCGCTCCAGGGATGGTGTTTACCTTGATGACTCTCAGATGAGGTCACTTGCACTTCTGTGTATTCCACATCCACGGTCAGAGGCTCTGCTCAAAAGAACCACAGCACCGGTTAGACAAAATCTCCTTGGGGAGCCTCAGCCTGCCTTCGAGATTTCCACTCAAATGATTAAAACATTCCATATTTCGAGGAGGAAGCCAGACCCAGGCTGAAGGCCATTTTAAGTAGATGAGAAATCTTGGGCTGGGGAAGACAGTGATAAGTCCTGCTTTCCCCAGGACGTGGAAGGGTGCTCCTGCCCAGGTCCCCATCGTTTCTACAGGGGATTTGTAAAAACTCAGTAGACACAGAAAACAGCCAGTATCAGCCATGGCAGTTAACTCTAGAACTCTACTCCACAGCCACAGGCATAGAAAGCTATCTCCAAGATGGAAGGGATCTCAGGAAGTGGAGGATAGGGTCCTCAGCCTAAAAATGCTCTGAAGGTATGAGCCATATGCATAGAAAAACAAGTTAATGAGAGCAGTTGGGCTGCTAGAGTGAAATCCAATAAATTAGTTTGTCTTCGACTCAAAATTACATAATTGTTTTATTTTTGAAGCCTTAGAGTTGGGGTTTCTCACCAGCACTGAAAACAGTGATGTGTGGTCAAGGACACAGGTGTTAATTTCTTTAGATTTTTTTTTTTTTTTAAGTAGGCTTCACACCTCACTCAGAGTCTGAAATCATGACACAGAGATCAAGACCTGAGCTGAGATCAAGAGGCGGATGCTCAACCGACTAAGCCACCCAGGCGTCCCTACTTCTTCAAAGTGTTAGCTCCCATGATAGCAGCCCCGAGGCGAAAGGAATTTTCAGAGATGATTTAGCCCAATCCTCTGAGCTTTAACCGTGGTAAGGAATCTATTGTTAATTATCTTTAAAAATTAGTAGCAATGCTATTTTATTTTTTATAGCATATTTTTTATTTTTATTAAATACTTAGATACAAAATTATATTTGTAAGTTATGTATAAAATACATGGGGGCACCTGGGTGGCTCAATCAGTTGAGCATCCGACTTTGGCTCAGGTCATGATCTCATGGTTTGTGGGTTCAAGCCCTGTGTCTGGATCTGTGCTGACAGCTCAGAGCCTGGAGTGTGCTTTGGATCTTGTGTGCGTGTGTCTCTCTCTCTGTCCCTCCCCCACCCCACTCACACTCTGTCTGTCTCTCTCTCAAAAATAAATAAACATTATAAATAAATAAGGGGCGCTTGGGTGGCTCAGTTGGCTGAGCGTCCGACTTCGGCTCAGGTCATGATATCACGGTTCGTGGGTTTGAGTCCCGCGTCAGGCTCTGTGCTGACAGCTAGCTCAGAGCCTGGACCCTGCTTCAGATTCTGTGTCTCCCTCTCTCTCTGACCCTCCCCTGCTCACGCTGTGTCTCTCTTTCTCTCTCTCTCAGAAATAAATAGAACATTTAAAAATTAAAAATTAAAAAAAATAAAATAAAATAAACAACATCCCTGCCTCCACTATCCAAAAGAAGGGAGGTCCTCTATGTTACTCAGTAACCTATTCTGAATTGGCCAGTTCTCTGGTAGGTATATCCCAGTTCTTTCCCCCTAGAATTTGGGTTTCTTTCCATTAAGGACACAAGATAGCATCTTTGGAGAAAGCAACTAGCCATCTCCATTTATACACAGTGGCTGGGGACAGGGTCACTGAGAGAGGTGGAGAAACATACCCAGGTCTTAACAGTTTTAGCTTTTTCCCTAAGGGTGTTTTTTAATGTAAAGTTTCTCATTAAAAAAAAAATTAATTAGATAATTACCTTTACTTTCATTCATTGGTTTCATTGCATGGTTTCTAACATCTTTACTGTAACCTAGTTGAAAAATAACAATTAGGATAATGGCAATGGAATTTCTAGTTTCCTATATAACATTTAAAAAACTTAGTGCCACTAACAAATGAAGTCAAGCCTAACTGCTTCAGTGTGGTGGGCAACCAGCAGTGTATCTGATTCTGTATTCCCTCCTGGTCCCCCTACGGCTCCATCCCAACCACCGTGTGGTCACCAGAAATATGCTTGCCATCTCAGGGGAGGAAGACTCCTGCTTATGGATTGTTCAAAATTCAGAATCGTTCACTTTGAGCAAGCTCACTAGAAATTAAGCTTAATTCTTTCTGTGTTTATTTTTGAGAAAGAGTGAGAGAGAGAGAGAGACAGAGCGTAAGTGGGGGAGGGACAGAGAGAGAGGGAGACACAGAATCTGAAGCAGGTTTCAGACTTCAAGATGTCAGCACAGAGCCCAATGTGGAACTCGAACTCACGGATCAGGAAATCATGACCTGAGCTGAAGTCGGACAGGTAACTGACTGAGCCACCCAGGTGCCCTGAAATTAAGCTTAATTCTAAAATGAGGGGCCCATAACTAGAAACTAGCAAACTCACCTTCTCCAGCTGGAGAACTGAATGCATGAGAACATGGTTTAAAAAATTACAGTGCTGGGGTGATGGCTCATTCGGTTGAGCGTCCGACTTCGGCTCAGGTCATGATCTCACGGTTCATGGGTTCGAGCCCCGCATCGGGCTCTGTGCTGACAGCTAGCTCAGAGCCTGGAGCCTGTTTCAGATTCTGTGCCTCCCTCTCTCTCTGATCCTCCCCTGCTCATGCTGTCTCTATCTCTCTCTCAAAAATAAATAAAATATTAAAAAAAAATTACGGTGCTTTCAGGCTGCCACCTCGGTGGGCAAAAACATTTTTTAACTTTTTTTTTATCACGTTGTTCTTTATTAAAAAATAATTCTCAGGGTGTCTAGGTGGCTCAGTTGGTTAGGTGTCTGATTCTTGACTTCAGCTCAAGTCATGATCTCATGGTTTGTGAGTTTGAGCCCCACGTCGGGCTCCATGCTGACAGTGCAGAGCCTGCTTGGGATCCTCTCCCTCCCTCTCATCTGCTTACACGCTCTCTCAAGAATAAAAAATAATAATAATAATTCTTATGGATGTTACAAATACTACTTCTGAAGAATATATGAGTTTCCATTATTTAAACTAATTGCTTATTGTGATTATTAAAATATTTTATAAAGTGAAATAATCCATGGAGAGACAATATAAGAACTATAGTGTTTCTTGCATTTTGGAAATTGGGAGGGAAATCCTATTTTAATATACCTCTATTAGCATTTAATTTAAAGTGTCTATGTATTTACATGTAAATAATATAAATCACCAAAACACAAAAAGGTGTTTTCTCTATAACACTGGATTACTTTTTACTAAATATTCACCAAATATTTTTGAATGTAGTTTCTTAAATGATATATTTGCTCTTTTCTCTTTATTGGCCCATTACTTTTGCTAATACAAATGTTTTATTCACTTTCTAGTAAGGATGGTATCATATTTTGTGCTTTCTTTAGTTCCTGTTCTATTTGATGGACGTCAGGAATACAGTTTCCCAGGCTTTCCATTTATGTATGTATGTATGTATGTATATATTTATTTTTAGGCTCCACACCCCATGTGGGGCTTGCACTCATGACTCGGAAGTTAAGAGTTTCATGCTCTACTGATTGAGACAGCCAGGCCATTTTATTGACTTTTTAAAGGTCTGATTTGGTACTGTAAGAAGTGTTGAAATTCTTAAACTGATTTCTCAGGTATGCCCTGTAAAAGGCATATCCTAAAATTCCCAGTCTTGTGAAACACACAATTAGAAAAGAACATGAGCATTCTATTCTCAGACCTGCTGATAAAGAAAACTGCCCCGGACCTGGTCTGAGACAGGATGTCTTGTGTGATATAATTATAACCCCCTCTAGGGAGTGGCTGGCACCCTTGTTCAAAGGCTTGAGCAATTTTCTCCTAGACTTAATAAGATTAAGAACTCCAGGGACTGGCTGCCCACCCTACTGAGCTGACTTTCAAGCTTGCACTCAGCCTCTAGTCATGCATTCCTTTATTGTACCGCTTTTTTTTAATGCCTCCACTATCAGAGAAATATTTAAATTTGTTGTGGCAGAGTTTGAAAGGAAACTGTCTTGTGCTTATAATAAACAATTCCATCTGAGAAGATGTTTTACCAATGCCCTAATTTGGTAACTGGTCTCTTCTCTAACAGAAAGATAATGATTATACTTGGGCACTGTTCAAAGTTTTGGGAGATAAGCTGGGATGGCTACCCACAGCATCACAATTATTCTCCACATTCCCTGAGATGTTTAGAAGGTGGTAAAACTGGGATAAAAAGTTCTGCCTGTCTTCCAAAGTTTTTGTTTTGTTTGTTAACTCACCCTTCCATGACTGATTAGATTAAGTGTCCCTGCTTGAGGACAGGGCTTCCCTTCCAACTTGAACCCCACCACCTACAGATTCTGTTTCTAAGACGGGTAGGGGAGTATGTAGCCCGCTGGGGAAAACACTTCACAACGGCAGGAAGCCATGACTGTACCGTAATGTTTGTTGGCTTCAGTGTTGGCATCTGACATCTTGTCATTGCTGGAGTTCAGAAGCGGCACTGCTGGCCTTAAAATGAAATTAAAAAAGGAAAAATAAATATGACTTTTTTGGGCTCTAACTTCAAAATAAGAAAATAACCAAGGAAAGATCATGAGAAAACCAGGAAGAGTTTTCTTTCTTCTTTCTTTTTTTAAGAAATTTCTCCAGTTAGGAAAACTTTACCTTCTCCTGTAGAAAACTAAGCTCCTGTTTTTGGCTCCAAGATTATTTGACAACAACTTTTTGCTGTTGAAATAAGTGGCAGGGCCAAAGGCAAACTTATCAGGTGAATACCACCCCTCTGAATTCTTCCGCCTATGCTACTGTTTTCCTCCAGAACAGAGCTATCATTTCCATACTTTTGGATCTGGGGTTTCAAAAATGGTAAAATTATCAACCCCTTTTTTAGGTCAACTCTATTTTGCCAAGAAAATAAATTCTAAAAATTCCATCTGCTCTCAGTATAATTTCATAAGGAAAAGGGGATTTGACAAATAAGAGTGTAGGAAGGATAACGGCCTCAGAATAAAGCCATTCTTTCTCATGGAAGGACCCTGGCAATCTTACACACACACACACACACACACACACCCCTATACTACTACACCTAAGACTCTTATTTTTCTGAGTTTCCCAAGAAAAATTCCTAATGACCAGAATTTGCCTACAGTGTCTGCATGTCTACAGAGCAGCCACGTCTTTTCCAAATAAATGCACTGACCTGGCCATCTCCATGGGCGTCTGCTTGGCTTTAAAAGAAAAAGAGAAAATCCAAAGTCAGTAAAAAATATTCATGTCCATACCAGATAGGAACACTCATCTTGACCATATTTGACTGCCTTGAAGATTGAATACCCATAAAAAGAGAAAAGAAAGCCAAATATATTCCTGCTGTTAAAAAATAAGAAAATAAACAAAGTCAGTCTTTTCTTGGTCTTTCTGATATTGAGAGATTTCACATCGTTCCCTCCAGGAATATGATATTTTGAGACTGTTTTAGCCAGAAATGATTTTCTTTAGTGAAACAGAGACGAAGATAATGGTAACCAGATAAGGCAGATATATAGGCAATTGTCTCTTTGATTCAAGATGATTCCGAAAAGGAAAGTTGACATCAACCCTTCTGCTTTTAATTCCAAGCTGGCCTGAGAGCAAGGTCAGGGTCAGCCTCAGGAAGGGGTTGGATCTGGAGCCTGTCTTCCCAGAAGGGTTGTAGCATTTTTGCTCCAGAAAAAGCCTAGGGCCCCACATCGTCCCATCTGCCCCCACCCATCCCAGGTAGCAGCCTTACTCCACAAACATTTTTGCAGAATTTACTGGGACTGTGCCCTTTTCCTTGAGTTCAGGCTAGCTGACTCTGATTTCTGAGTTGTCAGTGGGTGATCCTGGCTTCCCTTCCATGCATGGTTAGCCTCAAGCACAGGGTAGAGATCATGGCACAAGTGGCAGATTAACTGGGAGGGGTGTGTCTGGGGCTGGGGGGCAGTGTCTCCATAGCACTCACACCCACTCTACTAACTGCAGGACGAGGTGTGGCCAAATCCACAAACAGCTTCTTCTGATCACATGCAGATGTAACCTTCCAGATTTATCTTTTATGGGTTGTCCAACTAGGAGAACCATTGCCTTCATGTGTGTGCCTAGCCAAATCAAAGGGGCAATAAAAGCTTTATACCCAAAGCCAAAATCTTTGGTTATCAAGGTGACCCCCCCCCTCCCCTTCCCAAGGAGAAGAACAATTGTCTCCTCAGTTCCCGCTGGGGTAGAGCACCAGCCATCCATGTGGCGGAATCTGTTCACATCCACAGCCAGTTTCCTGGCCAGGGGACCTGGAAGAACTGTACTTACCCTTGGCTTTCTTCAGAAAACAGCATCTGGCTCCAAGTATCACGGTGACAATTATCACTCCAATGACAACCACGGCAATAAGTCCTTTCTTCCATGGGGCAAGAAAGACTGGAAATGAAGAAACACACACACACACACACACACACACACACAGGTTTTTCCTCTGCCAGCAAGAAATAATATCAGACTTAAGCAACAAATAAGACTGAATTTTATAGTCCTCATAACCGTCATTTTACATGAGCATCTACCTCTGAAGGACTCTTGTGTTCATAGCTAATGCAGAAATGGGTTTCTTGTTTGTTTTTTCTTTTCTTTTTAATGTTTTCATTTATTTCTGAGAGAGAGAGACAGCGTGAACAGGGGAGGGTCGGAGAGAGAGGGAGATACAGAATCTGAAGCAGCCTCTAGGCTCTGAGCTGGCAGTCAGCACAGAGCCCAATGTGGGGCTCAAACCCACAAACTGTGAGATCATGACCTGAGCTGAAGTCAGACGCTTAACTGACTGAGCCACCCAGGAGCCCCTGTTTGTTTTTTCACTACAGAGTCAGCTATGGTCTTAAAGGACCATTGGACTGAAGTAGATTACTTTCTGGGGGTCTATTCAGCACTTCTCCTTCACTAGGAAAACACTTCTACCCACATTGGTGGGCTCCCATAACTACGTCCCTTCTGCATGACCCAATCCCCTTGGCCACAGATGGGCCAATTGATATCTCTCTACCAAGAATTTGGAATTACAATTGTGTGAAAAATTTCTAATTTTTTTTTATAATAACCAATTCCTCTTCTATATTTAATTTGGGTGACTGTCTGTCATTTGCAATAAAAGAACCTTGAGAACATTGGTCTCTCAACCCTTAGCGAAACAAGCTAAACAGCCGCCCACTTCCTCTTGCAAGGGGTGTGACTTTGGCTTCACTCCTGGAAGCCGCATTATGTCTCACTGTTGAGACCCTGGCTCACCTCTGACGTTCAGTATGTTGCTTTGGGAATTGCTTTTAACAGAGTTGGCTCTGTTGAAGGCTGTGCAGTAATACTGTCCCTCATGTTCCTTGCTGGCCTTCTCCTTGTGCCAAATGGCTTTGGTGTCATTCGAGACGGTCTGGTAGAAGGGACTGCCCTCCTTTTCTCTGTAAAACCTGTAGGTGATTGGACCAGATGCATTATTCACGGAGCATCGAAGCACAAGTTCCTTCCCAGACTCCACCTCCTCAGTCAGCAGGATCGTGAGCTTCACTTCATCCACTGGGGCTGAAAGGCAGAGAAAGGGACAGCACTGAGAACAGGGGAGTCACAAGAGAATGAACATGACACAGCACTGCCCATGGCCAGCCTGCTGTTGCACTGTGACCAAGGCTAGGATTGTGTCTTTTACTCAATTCATTCCCACCACCCTCCCTGACCCATCCATCCCACATTCTTCAGACCCCACCCCCACCCCCATTAGCCCAGAAGGCTGCAACAGATGCCTCTTGTCCCCACGTGGTTTTTAAACACAAGATGCTATGGAGACCTCCCCTCATTAGGACCTCAAGCATTACTTCATACTCAGCCTAAAAATATGATTAATCTCTGTGTCTTGTTGATTTCTATTCTGTGTGAGTGTGTATGAGAGAGAGAGAGAGAGAGAGAGATTTCCATCCCTATGCTTACAAAGATGTATGGCCTTTCCCCACCTTTAGTTATGCTTGTTTTTCTCCTTTTCTTTTTATAGATGTCCTAAACCAGTCACTCTCATATCCCCATTTCCCACATTCTTGTTATTCTTGACATCTGACTTTCAGTCATCTGCTTTGGAAACCGCCCTCTATCTCTGGTTTTGAAGAAACCCCATAGGTCACCAATCCCCTGACGATCCCACCCCTGAATCTCCAGCAGATTAAATCCAGTCCTTAATAGGCTCCCATCCGACCTGTGGCCTCAACTGCTGCCCAGCTTCTTCTGGGGCTTGATGTCTCACCACCCAGATTCTCTTACCTCCCCACCTGTCACTCCCTCTTGTTTCACCAGTTTTCCTTCCTTTTACTCCTTAAATATGGAGTTTCTGCAAAATTCAGTTCTCATCTTTCTATCTCCATTCTCCTTTTTGATGATTTTGCCCATATCATAGCTTCTATTTGTGCATTTAACACATCAATATATGGCATTTAATGCCAAAATATATAGCTCTAGCCCAATCTCTCCTCTGAATTCCAGGTCTGGAGTTTGACCTGGGCATTTGCACCTGGAAGTCCTGTCAGCCTCATTCCCAGCAGATCCAAGCAGAACTTGATGTCCTCTCATATAGCTTTTCCATGTTTAATTACTGAAATTTTGATCCTCAATTGTCTTCCCATGTAGACCTTCCTATTGGTGGGAGAATGGACTGGTCAGCACACTGGCATCTGACTATAAATCACCTTCCTGAAGAGTGCAGTGGGTGACTAGACCACGGAGCTGCTGCTTCCACAGAAAGGGAGGACCAGGCTCCAGATGGGCACAAGGGCAGATCCCAGAGGGTGCAGCCTGATTCAACAGCATCTCTCCTGATGAAGCACAAAGGGGTGATGGCAACTCAATTCCCAGCCCCATTGCCCACCAGCTGTTTGTCCTAAGCCTTAGTTTTCCCATCATGAAACAAGGATAATATGATCATAGGCCTTTCATGGCTATTGTATGTATTAATGAGGATCATTAACTACAATATTTCACACAGGGGTGAACACACAGTTGAGGCTCAGTAAATGTTAGCCACTAATACTGACCCAGTTGAAACCAACAGTTTCATTTGGGATTCTGCATTAGCTGCTGCTTCTTCTTCTTCTCTTTTTTTTTTTTTAACATTTATTTATTTTTGAAAGAGTGCGAGAGGGGGAGGAGCAGAAAAAGAGGGACAGAGGATTTTAAGTGGGCTCTACGCTGACAGCAGCAAGGCCAACATGGGCCTCGAACTCAAGATCGTGACTTGAGCTGAAGTCAGACTCTCAACTGACTGAGCCACCGGGGCAACTCCTTCTGCATTAGCTTCTTAAGGTATTGTGAGGTCTGAGGCCTCCACTTGTAACTGACAGAGCCCCCAGGTTAATCTTCCCCAAGCTCCACTCTCATCATGACATCCTTTGCTCTTCTGGCTCTTGTTGCACACAGGACAATTCCCAGCTCCGAAGACTGCCATTTGATGCCCTGCAGTTAAGCTCTGTCACTTTTTCAGTTTATGGCCAATGATTTTCCATTCCCAATCTTTTGTTTCCAGCCATCTGATTTACCCAGTCTTCTGAACTGCTCCACGGAGCTTTTTTGGTCATGTATTTGACTAGGCTGGTAGGCCATCTCTAGCCCTTACTTGACTCATTGTCAAGCTCTGGCTCCTAACCCAGCTCTTCCCACTCAAGCTAAATGATATCTTTCATGCTCTAAATTCCGATCACCATCATTGTAAGAATAGTTCATGTAACAATTAACCATGTGCTTCCTAGTAGGAATTTTTTTCTATGCTTCCTTGCTCTGTTCTTCAAATATACTAAAATATTTCTCCATTATTTTATCAGGACATCCTGTGTTTCTTGTAATATCATGGAAAACAAAGGATATGTTTCCTTTTTTTGGATGCCCTATAGCATTGGGTGCTGTATGTATATGGATATTAATTTGAAAAGTATGGTTCCTTTTAGATCTACGTTAATAGAAGCAGGAATCTCTAGTCTACTTAAGATGTCCACAGCGGCATATGTAGATGAGCAGTTATTAAATAAAAAGGAGGAGGAAAAAGAAGACTTATTAAGCTTTTTACAACAGAATGCAGAATTTCTTAGAGATGCAAGCAATGGCACTCCTAAGGCCTTCGGAGAGGCACAAGACAGAGGCTCAAGGAAAATATCAACCCCAGGACAATGGTGTGGATTGAGTGGGTTGAGTAGGACAGCCCCGGTCCCATGAGACTAGAGTCCGCAGCTCTGGTTGCTGCGGTTCCACCCATGTCAGAGTTTGCCTCCCCAAGGGTCAATAGTGGAGAAGAGCTCGGTCCACCAGCCTCAGAGATGGTGGTCTGTTCATCTAAAAATGAGCAAATGTTAAGGGAGCCCAAGAATACAACTTCAAGGTGTTCTGACGTTGAGACACTTTGCTCTTCTATTTTAGCAGTTCGCTTGAAGGTTTCTGAAAAGAGAGGACACTGGCCACACCAATGGCCACCGGATATTTTCTGGCCCCATCAACCTGAGCTTTGGTTCCATTTTGCCAAGTGACACATTTATAATCTTTGTATAAGTCCCACCCAGTTGTGCATGCAGCCCCTGGGCAACCCCAAACCTTTTCAGATGTGAAGTAAACCCCTCACACCATAGGATTGCTTCCCATCGCACAGCAACTTACCTACCACATTGACCCGCAGAACTTCACTGGCAATTTCGGTATAGGAATGACAATTATCTGCCATACACTGGTATTCGACGTCTTTTGTTGGCTTATCTTTGAATACTGCAGGCTCGTTGGAGTTCATGTTACAACTCTCCAAAATGCTACCTGCTTTTAAAAGGTGATAAGTAATTGGTGTGGTTCCATTTATGGACTGGCAACTGACTGCTATGGTCTGTCCTTTTATCACCTCAGAGCTGGAGTCATAAAAAATCCTGGGCTTGGAGAGCATTTCTAGAACAGAGAGAGAGAGACAACCTGAATGATGACTGAAGGCAGAAACAAAATATCCATCCAAAGAAGATCCTTATCCAAACTCTGACATTACTATAATTTATTTTATTTTATTTAAGTTTATTTATTTATTTTGAGAGAGACAGTGTGAGCAATGCGGGGTGGTAGTGAGAGAGGGGGACAGAAGATCTGAAGTGGGCTCTGTGCTGACAGACAGACCAATGTGAAGCTTACACTCATGAACCTTGAGATCATGACCTGAGACAAAGTCAGATGTTCAACCAACTGAGCCACCTAGGCGTCCCCTGACATTACTATAATTTTAAATGCCTGCCTCCCTCATCTACCTTTACAGGACTCCTTTAAGACTGACAGGTAATGCGTGTGTGTGTGTGTGTGTGTGTGTGTGTGTGTGAGAGAGAGAGATGAGGAGGGAGGGGGGAAGTGAATGCTATCAATAAAAAAGGATGATACAAGTTTAAGAAAAAACATGATATCCCCCTAAATACCTTTTTGTATTTCCATGCATCTCATGTGCACACACATCCATATGTTGTGGTAGTTGCATTAAGAAAAGATACAAAGAGGGGTGCCTGGATGGCTTAGGCGGTTGAGCATCTTGCTTCGGCTCAGGTCATGATCTCACTACTTGTAGGTTCGAGCCCCGTGTCGGGCTCTGTGCTGACTGCCAGCTCAGAGCCTGAAGCCTGTTTCAGTCTGTGACACCCTCTCTCTCTGACCCTCCTATGCTCACGCTCTCTCTCTCTCTCAGAAATAAATAAAACATTAAAAAAAAAAAAAGAAAAGATACAAGGAAATGCACAAAAAAATATAATAAGTACCCAAGCAGATTATATTCGAAAGCAAATCCTCAGTGCCTCAGCCTCTCCTGATCGTAAACTGCATGCCCAAGAAGCACAAATTCTACTAGGTCCTTATTTGGCAGTTCACTTATTTATAAAGCTCATGAAGTGAAATGACCTCCTTCCAAGAACAACAACAGAGAGAATGAAAATGTAATGGCCCACATTTGTCTCTTGCATTATTTCCTTTGGATTTCCATGACGAGAGAGCTGACAAGAGACTACAGTCCTCATTGAGTTGAGACTAAAATCTTGGCTGGCTAGAACCACAGCCATGGGGTAAACTGAAGGATGATGACTGAGTAACAACAGAGCTTGTGACAGCTTGACCAGAGTTCTCCATTCACTTAGACCCTTCTAGTCAGATGGCGGTCCAGGGCCCAGCATCCTCAAGTCTCTGTCTAGTTAGAGACGTGGAATCTGGCTCCATCCTGACCTGCATTCTAAGTGCGTTTTGCATGCACGGTCACTCTGAGAAGCATGGCTGTAGGTGGTCCTGGTACCTACGTTCAGTCCCCCAGGAGTCCTAGCCCTGCTGGTCAGTCAGGATATGGATCAGGATATAGAACCAAGATCCTAAAAATTAGTATTGAGTAAGCGGTGTTTCCTTTCTGACCTTTTTTTTTTTTTTAATATTTTTATTTATTTCTAGGAGAGAGAGAGACAGCGTGAGCAGGGGAGGGTCAGAGAGAGAGGGAGACACAGACTCTGAAATAGGCTCCAGGCTCTGAGCTGGCAGTCAGCACAGAGCCCGATGCGGGGCTCAAACCCACGAACCGCGAGATCATGACCTAAGCGAAAGGTGGACGCTTAACCGACTAAGCCACCCAGGTGCCCCTCCTCTCTGACCTTTTAAGGGGGTGTCTGTTCCAGCAGCCAGAATCTTGCCAACTCAGCCCCCTCATCAGCATGCAGCCACAAGAAAGCCATGAACTTGACTTTCACCAACACTTTCCTTGTACTGCCTCTTTCCTCTACTCCAAGCAGGAATAGTCACTAGTTTGGTCTCTCGATTTCACCACTTCCTCTTACCCCCGGGTTCTTACCCTGCCTCCGTCTGACCTGCCTTCAGACTGGAGAGGGTGGCAGCTAGTGATAAATCACCTTTCTCTCACTCCACCCCAAACTGGCTCTCTGAGCCGGCGAGGATGTACTCACCACACACAGTTATCTGGACTGCATTGCTTTTCTTGACCACCTTGCCGATGCCTGCAGTGCAGGTGTATGTCCCTCTGTCCTTCTCTGAGGCTATCTTGGTGAAATTTTGGGACAGTGACACAACCGTGCTTTCCTTCTGGATGGTGAAGCTGGCTGGAGGTGCTCCTGGAATGGAGCACCACAGGTTCAGTCTTTCACCGTGGTCCAGGCGGGTGGTGGAGGATTCCAGCTTCGGCTTGGAAAACAGCTCTGGAAAATCAGTGAATGGAAGGAGGTGAGATATTTCTGGGCACCATTCCCACAGCTCCCCCCCTTCCAGAGAGACCCTTCACCCAGTTGCTTGTGGCAGAGCTAACCCCCAAACTTGCTGCAGAAAGTTCTCTTTAGCTTCTCATACACCTAATAATCACACAATGAAAGAGCTAGGGTTATTCTTTGCCTGGGATTACAATGGCAGGTTTTCCACCCTTGTTAGTCCAATTTATTTCATAAACATGAATTAGAAAAGTCTTTTAGTCAACAAGTCAGGCAAAAACAGATGTTGGTGAGGATGCAGAGAAAGAGCGTCTCTTTTGCACTGCTGGTGGGAATGCAAACTGGTGCGGCCACTCTGGAAAACAGGATGGAGGTTCCTCAAAAAATTAAAAATAGAACTACCTTACAACCCAGCAATTGCACTACTAGGTATTTATCCAAGGGACACAGGTGTGCTGTTTCAAAGGGACACATGCACCTAATGTTTATTACAGAACTGTCAACAATAGCCAAAGTATGGAAAGAGTCCAAATGTCCATCGACAGATGAATGGATAAAGATGTGTGTGTGTGTGTGTGTGTGTGTGTGTGTGTGTACGAGTATCATATGACTTCCTTCATATGAGGACTTTAAGATACAAAACAGATGAACATAAGGAAGGGAAGCAAAAATAATATAAAAACAGGGAGGGGAACAAAAACATAAGAGACCCTTAAATATGGAGAACAAACAGAGGGGTTGCTGGAGGGGCTGTGGGAGGGGGGAAGGGCTAAATGTGTAAGGAGCATTAAGGAATCTACTCTTGAAATCACTGTTGCACTAAGGTAGCTAACTTGGATGTAAATTTTTAAAAAATTAATAACAAAAGAAAAGTTTTTCACTGTGTAATGCCACAGTGATGATTCATGCATTCGCCCATGGATTCATTCAATTATACACTTTATTTTGTAAGTATTTAGTACACACTTTCTCTGCACTGGGTGCCTTGCTTAGCATCAGAGAGATAGCAGTGAAAAAGAAACAGTCCCTGGCTTGGAAATGCTTTGATGTGGGTGATTCAGACATGGTTGTCTGCAGGAGAGCCCATGGCCTGGGCTCGGGGAATCAGGAAAGGACTCTTTCAGGAAGCTATCCAGGCAAACAGAGAGTGTTCTAAGCAGAGAGAAGAGCAAATACAAGGCCTGGCAGGAAGTTTGAGCACCTGAAAACCCTGGAACTTAGTGGGAGTAGAAGCAGCCAGAGGAAGACCTGTAGATCTTGAAGGATCTTGGGAATCACCTAAACAAGTGTGAATTGTATCCTGGGGCAATGGGAACCATGGAGAGTTTGGGTCAGGGGAATGGCATCAGATGTGTGTTATAGGGAGATATATGGAGGGAGAATGGATGGGGTTTAAGGAGCCCAGACTGGAAGCAAGAGGAATGAAGTGCAAGGTGGTCTAGGCAGAGTAGGAGGGACATTGGGAAGGAGATGGGGTCAAAGTGAAGGATCATGATCATTCAGGGTTTAAGCCCATGAATAGTGATGTCAAATAGGGGTCATATTAGGAGGGCTTCTCCTATCGCTGGCTGAAGAATGAACTGGCACAGAGATGCTCCCGCAAACCCCTTTAATAGGGAATCCTGATGTGAGGGCCAGTGTTAGGGTGTGATTACAGAGACAAGACAGGACAGAGCTGAGAGACCCAGCAACTCCTGGTGACAGAATGAATGTGAAAAGGTGGACAGTGGGGGCATGAAGGTGTCTTTTCTCTCCAAAGACAAGTGACTAATTTGATGACTTCTATTTTCCTAAATCTACTGTGAGCTGCTAACGTCACTCAATAGAGCCATTGACAGTGAGGCTTGATGGCAACAGGGGCATGGATAACTAGATGCATAAGTGGGCTTGGGGACCTTTCCAAAGGCCTGGTGGAACTTGAACATGAGGGTGCTTGCCTGCCAGCTCTGGTGTGGCTCAGTTAGCTCTGCATGGAAAGGGCAGAGCTCAGGATCATAGAGCACTTGGGCTAAAGAGATGGTAAGGGCAGGCGGAGTGTAACATTCTGCTGTCTTGGAACAGGGAGACTGATCTACTGAATAGCTTGTATACCTCACATGATACATAGACTTCTGGGTGTAGGTGATCGATCACCTACAATAGTGGTATCTTAGGGTCCAATGATGCTTTATGCTTTCCCAAAGTAGCCTGGCCTGAGGGATAAAGATAATGCTCTGACTGATGTAACCATCAGTTGGTCTGCCACTTGGTGCCTGTTGCTCTCACAGCAGTATGTCCATCCCTTTATTGTACTTGTTCATTGCATTGTATCTGAATGGTCTATTCATGTCTGTGAGTTTTTCAAGAGCAAAGCCTGACCTTAGGCAGCTGAATATCCCCAATACAAGTTGCCCAGCATACAGAAGGTACTCAAAGTATGTTGAAAATACTTTTTTCTAAAGAGATAATATGTCTTATCAGTGAAAAATATCATGTACCATCAAGATATTTGTCATTATCAATAATAAACTTAATTACAAGTATACACTTTAGACCAGTGGGATCCAACACATATGCCATCGCCCAGTTGGGTAGTTGGCAGCTTTCCTATGATACTGTGGACCGTCCCTGTGACTATACACTCAGTGTTTGACATATAGAAGGCTTTCAGTAAATGAAGGAATGAATGAATACCTTCATGTGGCAACCCCGAAGTGCTGACTCTCTCTACCCTCTGAAACACTGATATTTGTTCATATGAACAAATTCATATTGTTCATTATAATTGTTCATAATTGTTCATCATAACTGTTCATAATTGTTCATTATGAACATTGGATGAATGTCCAATATTTGTTCATTCATCCAACAAATATGTATTGAAGTCCTACTGTGTGCCAGGCTCTATTCTAGGTGTTAAGGACATGGCACTGAATAAAATGGTAATGTTCCTGGTCTCACAGGCTTGCATTCTAGTGCTGGATACATACAATAAACAGGAAGAGATAGAATATATTTTTTTGGCGATAGGTACTATGGAGAGAAGTAAAGCCAGTAAAGGGGGAAAGAAGTCCAATAGAACTTTTAAGTGCATGGATTTGAAAGTCAAATGGGCCTGGAGGGTGACTCTTGTTCTGCCACTTGGTAGCCCTGTATTCGCTGGGTGTGTCGCCTAACATCTCAGCCTCAATTTCCACACCCATAAAACCAGAATCATATCTATTTCACAGCATTGATATGAGTGTGAAATGCAAATATATGTAAACCAGTCATATAGTGTTCAACAAAAGGAAATTGTTGCTATAGTGTTTGAATTTACTAATGCTTTCTCACTCCTGACCCTGTCTTAGGACTTGTGTCTGGGATCTAGCATGGTGCCTTGCACAGAGGAATGATGAATGTAATATAATAGTAGACACTACGGCTAACATCCCACAGAGTGCTTATTCATATGAGGCTGTTTATAGCAGAGTCGTGTCATTTTGTCATTGTGACAGTCCTACAGGTGAGTGCTGTCATTATCCCTATCTCATAGAGCTCTGCCAAGGAGAAGCTGAGTAACTCACCTGAAGTGGTGGGTGGCAGTGTTGGGATTTGATGTCAGAACTTGCACCCTCAATCACCACAGCTAACTGCTTACTGGCTCTGGATTGACTTTTCCCCTTGAGCACCACACCCCCACCTGAGTACATTCAAGCAGGAGCAGGAACAGAAGTATCCGCCCTCGTTGGCCATTCTTGATTCCCACGTGGTGGCTGCTTGAGCCCGGCATATTCACACACCCTCCAGCAGCAGCCCTACCTGTTATGTTGACCACGATGCTGTTGACCTTGGATATCCGGCTGGCTTCCACTTTGCATGTGTAGTTGCCACTGTGCTCCACCATGGCCATCACTGAGTAGATGGCCTCATTGCCATGCATCTTGTGTGCTACAATTGTCTTGTCCTTCTGGATTATGATTTCTGGAGATGACTGGACCAGGTGCGTCACTTGAATGGTGCACTTAATGTTGAGCTGATCTCCTTCTGTGATCACTCCCACAGGGCTGATGTAGAATCTGGGATGAGAGAAGGATTCTACAAGAAGAGGACAAGCTGGTTGGACTCAGGTTCAAAGGTGAGTAAGTGGAAGAGGCACTTATGTCCTCCTCTTTAGGGTTCTTTTTTGTTACCAACCACTATTCTTCCTTGTTAATTAAACAAATTCAATCTTTTCCTTCAAAAACCTTCGCCTAAGTTGCTCTGGTTCCCCCTCCATTCTCACTCATTCTTGCATCTTCAGCCTTGTTAGCTGCAATCCTCCCTTGACCTTCCCAAAGGCGAAACCACCTTCTCTAGATCTCATCCACAGGCTCCTCTTCAAATGACCTTGAAAATCATCAGAGAATTAGAAACAGACTCTCACCCCTGCCCACTAAGGATTTTCTAGGCTCTTCTCACACTGTTTCACGGAACTATGGCATTTCGGCACAAACAGTCCATAGCTTTCAAAAGTGACAATGATGTAGACTGTGCCACTTCATGGAAATGCAATTTAAATAACGATACGCATCCCCCCCAGCTGATTTCTAGTCTATTCTATTTTTTTTTAATGGTGGCCGTGACTGACTAAATTGATTTCATGACTCATACAGCTTGAAAACACTGTTTTGATAAAATACGGGTCAGATGCTAGGGTGTGGGATCATCAGGAGATGGTAAGAAAAGTAGGGATAAGCCTTTGCTTCTGCAAACAAAAAAAATTGCAGAGTATTAGAGTACACACACAGATTGCCAACCAGGCAAAATGGAGATGGGACATTTAAAAATGCCAAAAGTGGATTTAGAGTGATATACTTCAATTCACTAGTTTTTAAAATATTTTCCCCTGTTTTTAATGTTTATTTATTTTGAGAGAGACAGAGCATGAGCAGGGCAAGGGCAGAGAGAGGGAGACACAGAATCCAAAGCGGACTCCAGGCTTTAAGCTGCCAGCACAGAGCCTGACACAGGGTTGGAACCCACAAACTGCGAGACCATGACCTGAGCTGAAGTCAGACACTTAACCAGCTGAGCCACCCAGGTGCCCCTAATTCACTAGTTGTTTACTGCAAAGTCATTTGACCTCACAATAAATAGCTATTGTAAAAAAATAATTTGACATTGTAGGAGTAAAAGGAAACAAAAGCAAAAATGAACTACTGGGACTTCATCAAGATAAAAACCTTCTGCACAATGAAGGAAACAACCATCAAAACTAAAAGGCAGCCTACAGAATTGGAGAAGATATTTGCAAATGACATATCTGATAAAGTGTAAATATCCAAAATTTATGAAGAACTTATCAAACTCAACACCCAAAAAACAAATAACCCAGTTACAAAATGGGCAAAAGACATGCATAGACATTTTTCCAAAGAAGACATCCAGATAGCTAACAGACACATGAAAAGATGCTCAACATCACTCATCATCAGGGAAATACAAATCAAAACCACCATGAGATACCACCTCACGCTTGTCAGAATGGCTAAAATTAACAACACAGGAAACAACAGATATTGGTGAGGATGCGGATAAAGGGGAACCCTCTTGTACTGTTGGTGGGAATGCAAACTGGTGCAGCCACTCTGGGGAACAGTATGGAGGTTCCTCAAAAAGTTAAAAATAGAACTACCCTATGGTCCAGTAACTGAACTACTAAGTATTTACCCGAAGGATACAAAAAGATTTGAATGGGTACACGCACCTCAATGTTTATAGCAGCATTATTCCAATAGCCAAACTATGGACAGAGCCCAAATGTTCATCTATGATGAATGGATGAAGAAGATGTGGCATATAGGTGGCTCAGTCAGTTAAACATCTGACTCTTGATTTGCTTAGGTCATGATCTCATAGTTAGTGGGATCAAGCCCCACAATGGGTTCTGAGCTGACAGTGCAGAGCCTGCTTGAGATTCTCTCTCTCCCCCTTCTCTGCCTCTCTCCCAGTCGCATGCACATACACACACTCTCTCAAAATAAATAAATAAATGTTAAAAAAAAAAAAGATGTGGCACACATACGCACAATGGAATATTACTTGGCTGTCAGAAAGAATGAAATCTTGCCATTTGCAATTACTTGGGTGGAGCTAGAGAGTATCATGCTAAGTGAAATAGTCACAAAGAGACAAATACCATATGATTTCACTCACATGTGGAATTTAAGAAACAAAACAGATGAACATATGGGAAGGAGAAAAAGAGAGAGGAGGGGAGGCAAACCTTAAGAGACTCTTAACAAAAGAGAACAAACTGAGGGTTGATGGAGGGAGGTGGGTGGGGGATGGGCTAGATGGGTGATGGGTACTAAGGAGGGCACTCAGTGGGATGAGCACTGGTTGTTATATGGAAGTGATGAATCACTGAATTCTACTCCTGAAACCAATATTGCACTGCATGTTAACCAACTAGAATTTAAATAAAAATTGAAAAAAAAAATAGGCTGCTTCCTTGAATAAGAGTCAAAAAAAAAAAGGGAGGGCATCTTTTAGGACACTCAGCAACTGTCCTCTGGAGAAGGGTAATAATAACTAACAGGGTTTTTTCCTTACATCCTAATTAACTCCAGATGCACCAGAAATCTAAATGCAGAAGAAACAAGCAAATAAACAGTTAAGCTACAGAAACAGTAAGAGCAAACATAGGTGCATTTTTTCTTTAATTAACTTTAATAAGCTGTAGGTGTGAATCAGGGAACCAAGATAGTAAAAAAGAAAAAGATGGACAAATTTGATTCAATAAGGATGAAATGCTTCTGCCTGAAAACTGATCATAAAAGAAAGACAGATGATAAACTCAGGGAAATATTTGCATAGTACTTGACAAAGAGCTAATGCCTTTAATTTATAAAGGGCTCAAACAAATCAATCAGAAACTGAAAATGGGCCAAGTGTATATAAACAGGCAGTTTATGGGGGGAAATGTAGTAAGTCAATAAACACAGAGAACATACTTGACCTCAGTAAAGACCAAAGAAATATAAATCACAAGAACAATGATATATCACTGCACCTCAATCAGACTGTCATAAGAAAATGTTGGTGATGCTGTGTGAGAGTAAGGATGTAGGAAAATAAACACTAGCATCAGTTTCGATGGAAATGTTCAATCATTTTGAGGCGTGCTTTGGCAATATATTTCAATATTTAAAATGCACAAAACATTTGAATCGGCTATTTGACTGCCAGGAATCAACCTCATAGATAATAATGAAAAAAAAATTTTCACAGAAGTATACAAATTATAAGTATGTATATCGCAGGATTGTTTTAATGGCAAAAAACGGGGCTGGGAGGAGGGGCGCCTGGGTGGCCCAGTCATTTGAGCATCTGACTCTTGATTTCGGCTCAGGTCATGATCCCAGGGTTGTGGGATCCAGCCCCACATCAGGCTCCACGCTGAGCTTGAGATTCTCTCTCTCTCGCTGGCACTCTCTCTTCCCTCACACATGTGTCCTCTGTCTCTCTCTCTCAAGAAAAAAAAAAAGGCAAAAAACTGGGAAAATACCTAAAATTCTATCATTAGAAATGTGAGGTAAATTAGGTAAATGAGGTAAATCCTATATTAGGATTCTAAGATGTCACTTAAAGGCTGTGGATCTATATTTCTCGATATAGACAAAAGTCTGTAACATACTGTTAAGTTAAGGAAAAGTTACAAAATCATTACATTTGACAGGTCACATTTTTTTTGTAAAAACAAAGAAAAGAAATTTTGTGTGTGCATGAACATATAAGTAGAGCAAGTCTAGGACCATACAAGTGATTCTCTCTAAATACTGGTACTGTGAAAAGTCCATCACATTCCTTGACAGAAGCAGTCCCCAGGCACACGCACCCTGAAATCCCTGTTCTCAACCCCCATCCCACCTCATCTGTCCAAATAACAAATAGCACTTTACACTTTATATCGTGCCATAATTTCTGGAAATTTAACCCACACCATGTATTATAATCGGAAAGATATTCTATATACATAATATACATAATACAATGGGCAGGGATAAATAAGGTACCAAAAGCAGAAGGGTATTTGTGACAAACTTTGGGGCTCCTATAGGAAAGATTCGAGGCTACTGAGCTAGAATGTGCCTTCCCTTGACTCTCCCTTGCTCACGAGTCCTTGTGCTGTTCTATAGGCTGCCTGTCCTGGAGCTTTACTCATCCTGGACACGCACACCCAGGCTTCCCTCTGCTACTGCCTTTCTCTCTGGAGAGCATTCCTCAGGCCGCCTCGTTTACTTCTTATTTGTCCAACGTCTGGCGATGGTGGGGTCCTTCATCAAATGTGGGAGGCAAAGGCTGACAATCGGGACCCTCTTCCCTCCCGAGCCCCTCCAGACTCCACTTCCCGGTGTCTGACCCACACTGGCTTAAAGCTGTGGCTTCCAAACTGCAAGTCACACAATGCATCATTTCACTGAGTCATGGTCAGTGTTTTAAAAAACTGAAATAGAATATAATAGAAAATAGCAAAATGCTGCATACATTAAGTATTATTAGTGAGACTTTTGCTTTGGAATTTTGCACACACACACACACACACGCATATTTTTTGAACTATAAAACAGTCAAAAAGTTTGAAAAACATGGCTTGTAAGTGGTTAAGAACAGTCTTGAAAACAGCAGCCCAGCCAGAAGGCCCCAGCTCCTTTCCAATTTCTGGGCTTTCTCCCCATCCCCAAACCAGCAAACCAGAGAGTGATAAAAAGAAGAATAGGACTCTGACCTGTCACAGTGACCATGTCACTCTTGGTGGCTTCAGACGTCTCCACATTGGTCCCAGAAAAGATTCTGGCTTGACACTGGAAAAAAATGACATGGTCCTCCTCCTCCACTGTGAATTCCACCACCATAAAATTCTGGTTCTGAGAAACTTTTTCTCTTGTTTCCTTGAAATCTTTTTCATCTAGTTTGAGTTTTTCAACTGTGAAGTGTATTGGGGGATTTTCCTCGGGGACAGAACAATTGACCGTTATGACTCCGCCTTCTATTGCCTCTCTCTTGTTCACTGTCACTCTGGGATTGGACACTCCTTTGGGAGAAGAGAAAGTCCATTAGTACCAGTTTGATCTAGTGATTCAAGCTTACCTCAGCTGCAACCCTGTGGTTGACCCACCTGAGAGTCTTCTCTTTTGTTCCCAGAACCCCAGGGCTACCTACCAGTTGATGACTGAGCAATACCAGCTACTTTGAAAAATATGAAATATGATTCAGATGTGGTTGGTGCTTTCAAAGTTTACAATCCCACTGGGGAGACAAGTCTTGCCAACTGATATAATTACAACAAAACAGCCACTATCTATTGACATCACTGTGATTGTTGTTATAATTTATTGACTGCCAACCACAGCCTAGGGTTGGCTTTTTATTCATGACGCCATGTAATTCTCATAATAAATCTCCGAGGTGGGCATGAAAGATAAAAGTACACCTATTTTAAAGATAAAGGTGAAGCTCAGTGGGATTCAAGTTTCATCCAAAAGTTCCTAGCCAGCAAGCTGCAGAACTGAGATTCAACTCCAGGACTGTCTGCTTCCAAAGCCAGGAGCTGGGGTGAGAGGTGGGAGAGAGGAGGGATACGTTGCCTCCTGGTTCCCAAAGCAAAGCTGAAAATAACTAAGCATCAGAATGAGTGGTAGAGATAATGAGTGATGGATGAAGCAGTCAGGAAAAAAGGAGGCCTTCTTTGCCTGAGGGATCAGAGAAGATTCTAGAAGGGAACAGGGCCTGAGAGTAATCTTGGAGGAAGGGCGTTATTTGTTATTTGGACAGATGAGGTGGGATGGGGGCTGAGGACAGGGATTTCAGGGTGTGTGTGCATGGGGACTGTTTGTGTCAAGGAATATGATGGGCTTTTAGGGAGGGCCATCGAGAACAAAGAAAAGGGTAGAGGGAAAGGTACAGTAGGTGGTGAGCCAGCGTCAGATGAGGCAGAGCTAGGACAGTCTGGCTGAGACAGATGTCTTGTCCAGACTCCGTGGTCTGGTGGTCATGAGCTCCACCTCAAAAGTCAGACAGATTAGCTTGTATCCTAAACCTTGCCACTTCACCCAGTTGCTTATGGTTCCTCTGAATCTTTGTTTTGAAGCACCCAGTTTGAAGTGGCAGGCTGTCCTCTTGGGAAGGTGACCTACACTGTATTCATACCACTATTATCACCTGTGGTGGCAGCTGTTTATGAAAGTGTTTTCCTGCTTCACACCGATTTCCCTAAGGAAAGGGATCATGTCTTACTCCTTGTTGGGTCCTCAGCCTGACTCAGAGTGGCTGGCTCAATAAATGTTTAATGGCTGAATGAACGAATGAATGGCCTTTTGTCTACCTCAAAGACCTGAATAATAATTAAGAGTTAGAGAGGCCAGCTTTGGAGTTAACCAGATCTGGGTTCTATCCAGCTTTGCCTCTGAGGAACTTCATGGCATGAGCATGCCACTCAACCTCTCTGAGCCTATGTCTACACTTGGAAAGGGCCACATTTAGCTCCCAGCACTATTGCAGGGGTTTAATGAAATATGTGTAAAGCACTTATAACTGTTTACCCCATGAGGATCTAATAGGTGACAGTTCTTATCACTGGAAGTAACAACAGAGTGAACACAAAAGTGAGCATACAATATGCAGAAATGACAGTAATGGTAATAGCTGTCAAGGAAGCACAGGGCTCAATTCGCTAACTCTATCCATTAAATCATCTGAGTTTTAAGAAAAAAATCACCCTAAGTTTCAAAAGCCTGCCAGCACATTTCTCTTCAGCAGACATTTCCAAAATCCAACCTGTCAATCTTTCCTTATCACTAAAGTCAGTGCTGGGAGTTATTGGTCCAGAGAGGCCCCAGTCAGTGGAGACGAGAGGGGCTGGTCTGCATCCCCATGGCTGTTGCTTCTGGTGACTCTAAGGGATATCTAGCCAGCCATGCCCCTGACTGTCCGTAGGACACCCATGGAGGAATTGGCCTGGGGGAGGATAATGTCATATTCTCCCCTGTAAGCCTAAAGGCTTGACCAAAAATGTGGCCAGAGATTGTATGCTCACAAAAGGAAAATGCTCCTGAAAACTTAACTGCTGGTCATTCCTGCTTCCAATATGCTGCAAGGGTTGTCCCTTTCTAAGGATGGCCAGACTGAGTCCCTCACACATGATGGGCATTCATTCATTCATTCATTCAATACTTGGTTACTAAGCACACTTCGATGCCATCACATTTAATCCTCAAAACGAAACAACCTTCAAGGGTATATGTAGCTACCTAGTGATCTCTATTTTAGAGACAGGAAATGAAGACTCCAAAGGTTGGGGGATTTGACTGAAGGACAACTCTACTGGGATTCTCTGTTCTTTCTTAGCCTCTCCTCTTCCATTTGTGCGACACTCTCATTTTTCTGCCCTTGCTCCATTTCACCATCAAGTAAATTCCTCCACGATCTTCTGTATCTAGACCCAATGTCCCTTCCTCCAGGAAGCCATCCCTAACTTCTCTAGAAAGAATTGTTGCCGCTCATTTTGTGCTCCCAAGGCACTCAGATCATATGACCATTGGATTGTAATTATTATTATTTTTTTAATGTCTCTCCTCCCCACCAGACAGTAACAGCTTTCAGAGCTGGACTCGACCTGGTGCATTTTCATGTCTTGCACCTGATTTTTGTTCCTGACTTGCAGCCTTGGGAAATGCTTCTTGAGGGGGTAAACCAATGAGTGACTGGATGGAATCCTACATCTCAGAACCCACATTTCCCGTGATTTCCTTCCCACTTCTACATTTTTATCCATTTCTACTTCCCACTTTTCATCTGCTTAATTTATTCCACAATCATTTACTGAGTGCCTACTGTGAGCCAGATTTCCTTGTCTAAGATACAAAAATGGCCCAATACCATCTCTTTCCTTGTGATCTCACAGAAGAGCAGACAGGTGCGAGAGAAACACTTGCCAGTGAGTGAAATAGTAAGGTCACTTATTGGGAACTTAATTATGTGTTGGAAATTATACTAAGCACTTTATCTAGATCTTTTAATCCTCCCAATCACTCCCTGAGCTGGGTATTATTAGTGTCTTCATTTCACCTATGAGAATTTTAAAGTTTAGAGAGGGTAAGGGATTTGCCCAAACTGGACTCCAGGCAGACTCACTGCAGAATCCGATGTGAACACTCAGCCTGTGGCCTTTATACAAATGCCACTGGATGTCCAGACTGTACAAGAGCTGTACGGACCAGAACCCTGGGGGAGATTGGTTTTGTTTGGGAAAGTGTCAGAGAAGAGATGATTGAGTTGAGTCTTGAAGGAGGAAGGAGATGAAGAAGGGTATTCCCAGGAGAGGGAATATAGCATATGCAAAGGCAAGGAGATGAGAAATAGCCTGGTGTATTGGGAGCATGTCTAACACCTACATTTTCAGGTTAGGAGGACGCCAGGCAGAGGAGTGACAAGGGTGACAGATGGGCAGGTAGGTCCAGTGTTACCCTCCATTCAGTGACTATTCCTGCTACCTTGTGTGTTAAGCTGCATCTACGTGAGCTACGTTCAAATGCAGGGACTCACCTTTCACCGACACCCGGTACGCTATTGTGGTTTTCTCCTTCTTGTTCAGAATCACGGTGCATTTATAGATCCCTGCATGAGAGACCCGGGCTTGGGGAATAAAATAACTCTCTGTGTTCTTTGTGGAGGAGACATTGTGAAACAGCACATCATCCTTATAGAACAGCACCCAGTGCAGAGGCTTGACCTGGGAGGTGGTGCTGATGTCCACGATGCACTGCAGGGTCAGGTTCTGCCCATTTTGCACCTTCTGTCCTGGCAGGATATTCATGTGGATGTAGTTGATAGTGAAAGCTACATACCAAAGGAAGGAGAGCAGACACACACTTGTTATCTCAGAAACACCATCTTGGTGACCTTTGCCCCACATCAGATTGGTATTCTCACATCCTTTGCAGTGTAGTGTCCTGGGGCACCAATGCCTACCGGGACCAGGCAGGCAATGACTGTAAGTGGTGCCCATTCTGCAGAAGGCTATCTATCCAGCATCAGGCCCTGGGGTTAAAAGCTACTGTGTCTCGTATGCTTTGTTAGCCTCCTTTCTCACTGATTTTCATGATGTGTAAATAAAACAATCATGAGATTATAAACATTTCATTTAAGTTTTTGCACAGATAGTGCAGTCAGATGTTTCAAAATCCACAAATGCTGATGATATGATGTCCATGTGAAAGACCCCAGAGAGCCTACAGATAGATCATTTGAAATAATGCAGGTTTAGAAAGGTGGATGGAAAAAAAAAAAAAAAAGAGTGGATAAAACTAATATTTAAAAAATCAGGATAGTGGGGGCACCTGGCTGTCTCAGTTGGTAGAACATGTGGCTCTTGATTTCAGGGTTGTGAGTTCAAGCCCCACAATGGGTGTGAAGCCTACTTAAAATTAAAAAAAAAAAAAGGGGGGCGCCTGGGTGGCTCGTCGGTTAAGCATCCGACTTCAGCTCAGGTCAGGATCTCACGGTTTGTGGGTTTGAGCCCCGCATCAGGCTCTGTGCTGGCATCTCAGAAGCTCAGAGCCTGGAGCCTGCTTCAGATTCTGGGTCTCCCTCTCTCTCTGACCCTCCCCTGCTCATGTTCTGTCTCTCTCTGTCTCAAAAATAAATAAATATTTTAAAAAATTTTTAAAAATTAAAAAAAAAATCAGGGTAGTGGTCACTTCTGAAGGGAAGAGGGGAGTAGGATTAGGAATACACAGAACTATACAGTATTAGTGATGTTCTAATTTTCAGGTTGGGTGGTGGGGTCACGTGAGTTCATTATGTTATTAAAAGTATGCATATATAAATAAAACAAAAGGTAATTGGGCACAGATCAAAGATGAGAGTGTGTTATGAGCCAAGGATTATAATCAATCTAATTCTGTGTACTTGAGGCTCCAAAAAGAATGTATTTTCTGTATGAAGAAAAGAGACAATGTAGGGGCAGCACCTGGGTGGCTCGGTGGTTAAAAGTCCAACTCTAGATTTGGGGTTAGGTCATGATCTCACAGTTCATGAGTTTAAGCCCCTCATCTGGCTCTGTGTTGACAGCATGGAGCCTGCTTGGGATTCTTGGTCTGTGTGTGTGTGTGTTGTGTGTGTGTCCCTACCTGCTTTCTCTCTCTCTTTTAAAAATAAATAAACATTAAAAAAAGAGAAAAATGTACATTATAAAGTCTTATCCCCATTCTCGTCCTTCCCACCCAGTTCCCACCTCCCCTTGTAGAAATAACCACTGAATTGAGTTTCTTCCAGATGGCCTTTACAGATCTATAAGCAAATACAAAGACAAAGTCTTACTCCTCCTTGATCTTTTACGCAGGAGGTAGATCTTCATATATGGAGCTTGGCATCCTACTTAAAGTTTATGTGGCCCATGAGGGCTTTAGGGGCCAGAAATAGTGCAGGACTGTGGACACCAGATGTTATTCAAGCAAAACAGGGTCCTGCGGCTTAGGTAAGGCCCCTAAGATCAATTCTTAGCAGATAGTCTGATAACAGAAAAATATTCATGGGCCAATGCTTGATGAATGTATATTTATTGAGGCTCCTTATATATCCCCAATCTCTTTATCCTTGGACAGAGGAAGATCTCAGAAATCTGTGTGCTTCGACCACTTTGTTATGGAAGCATTAATCTTTAGAACTCCCTTTTTTGTCTTTGCTATTCCTTACTAGTTCCTGGTCTGAGGAGCCTGTTAGGTGAGCTCTCAGAACGGAAGTTTCCCATCCATTAATATGGTCACTTCCCAGGTAGGAACAGCAGTCTCACTAACCCTTCAGTCCTCCTCATTTTAAGCCATGCTGTTCAGTACAGTGATTCTAACAGAAGAAGGTAAGGGCAGAGCCAGGCTACCTGGCTCAAATCCCACCTCGGTTCACAAACTGTGTAGCTTTTGGCAAATTCCTGAGTTTCTCCAAGCCTCAGTTTGCTTATCCACACAACGGACATAATAATAGTAAGTATAAATGGGAATCCAAGTTTAAGTACTAGGAACACAGTTCTTGGCACAGATGAAGGCTTGAGAAATGTTAGCTAGGTTCTACCAGGCACAAATATAAAGCCCAACTTGAGTCTTGAGCTCTCTGAAACTCGATATCCACTCCTTTTGCTAGTGAATTTTTTCAAAAGAAAACCATTTCTTAATTTCCCGGGTTAGTTACAGTGGCTTCTTCAGACTCCCAGGGTTAGTCATCCCTGCTGTGCTAGGCTACTTTCCTGTCATCAGCCTGCATGAAGTACACACCCACGGCTGGCCGTGCCCTAGACTGGGACACAGACTTGGGTGGGTACAGGAAGAAAGCAAGTCAGGCATGCCTGGGTCCAAACCGCTGACTCCACAGCTATTAGCTGGGTGATACTGGGAGTTACTTAACCCCTCTAAGCTACCACTTCTGTCTTGAATAATGACCGAAACAAAATGGTGGAAAACACTGAAGGGGCAGAGCGTGTATTGCCCAATGCCTGGCCCCTGGCTGACATCCCTTCCCTCTTCCTTGGCACCACTCAGCAGACATTTAAGGGAACTTCTCTGTCCCAGGCGCTGCATCTAATAGTGGGAGGTTCAGAGAAGAGTGAGATTGGCATGGTTTTTGCCCCCTGGCTCTCTCCCTGTCTGCATTCCCAATTCTTCTTCTCTACTTGGGGACCTCCAGCCTCAGCACCATCCCTGCCTGGGTCTCCTACTGACCAGGCCTTGTTCATTTCCTTTTTGCAAGGGCCCTAAAGCAAACTTGGCTAAAGCATCCCGTGGTGGTTTTTTAGAAAGGATGAGATGCACTAGCACGGGGCACTTCTGCCAACTTGTCTTTCTAAGCAACAAACACATTTGCTTCATAAATCAGCTCAACTGATTCACTGGAAGAAACATCACAGTCCCATGGTCCCACTGGAACAGACAAGGGAGAAGAAAGGACAGCAGGTTGAAAGAAGGAAAAGATTTTTATATAGTTGATCAACATGTTTATTGTAAATTAATGCAACCCAGCTCCGTGTGACTTAACACAAAACCTCACTGACATGATGCAACAAAAGCAGTAGCAGAGCTTTTGACACCGCCGCCGCCACCACAGCCATGTGGTAGCCAGCCTTCGAGATGGCGCCCAGCGAGCCTTGCCCTCTGGTATTCACACCTGCATTGTTTTCAATGTTGATTTATTTTTGAGAGAGAGAGAGAGGAAGCAAGTGGAGGAGGGGCAGAGAGAGAGGGAGACACAGAATCCGAAGCAGGCTCCAGGCTCCGAGCTGTCAGCACAGGGCCCCACACAGAGCTTGAGCCCATATACTGTGAGATCATGACCTGAGCTGAAGTCCAATGCTCAACTGACTGAGTTGCCGAGGTGCCCCTTACATCTGCACTTTATCCCTTCCCACATCATACTAGGGGAAGGGATATCTTGGAACCCAAAAATACTGACGTGCTTGATCACTGCGTCTGAGTTTAGGTTATAAAGGACCTTTCAGCTTTGGTCTTGAGCACTCTTTCCTTTCTTGGGGATCATTCACTCTGTGCAAAATCAGCTGCTCCATGACCATCCTTCTAGAGAGGCCCACAGCCACAAGAGTGAGCTCAAAAGCAAATCCCCTGGCCTCAAACAAGCCCTCAGATCATTATAATCCTGACCAGCATTTTATGGGCAATCTCCTGACAGACCCTGAGCCAGAACTCCTCAGATTCCTGACCCTCAGAAGCTGTGAGGTAATAAATTGTTATCTTTTTTAAAATTTATTTTTGAGAGAGAGAGTGTGCATGTGTGTGCTCATGCAAGCTGGGGAGGGGCAGAAAGAGAGGGAGAGAGTGAATCCCAAGCAGGCTCTGCACTGTCAGTGCAGAGGCTTGAACCCATGAACTGTGAGATCATGATCTGAGCTGAAATCAAGAGTCAGACACTTAGCCGACTTAGCCATCCAGGTGCCCCATAAATCATAACCTCATTATTTGTTAAGCAGCAATATACCACTCAACTAATCTTTAAAAATCTCTACCTAATTATTAAGATAATACTGAAAACATTGTCCTCTTTGTGAATAAACTGTCTGGGAAGAGCCAAGCTGGATTACTGTGTACAGGTCTCACTATTTACACAACAGAGTGCATGTTCACATCCAGGCTCCCTGAGCCCCCTGGAGGTTCACGGGTGGGTGGTAGGGGGCCCACAAACCACCTTTGAGTATATGCAAGTGTGCATTTGTTCTAGAGAAAAGGATCCACAGCTTTCTTTACTGAACGATTGTGATGAAAGATTGGGGTTAGCAGCAACCTAGAGAGGTCAGATCTTTTCAACCTGGACAGATGAAGGCTGACAGAGGGGGATCCATGGTAACAAAGTCACCACAGCACAGATAAGGGAACATCATGCCAAATGCCGGGACCCTGAAAGAAGGGGTTGCTTCCCTGTACCTCAAGCCCCCAGTCAGCGGATGCTCATTCTTCTTGGGAAGATGAGGCATCATGACTCAGCCAGTGTCTTGGCCAACCTGGAAATGACTCAGAAATGGGGGGGGGGGGAGGGGGAGGAAAGGTGGTCTCTCCATTGTCGTCATGAAAATTATAGGGAGCCAGTTAGCATAGAGCCCCTGATGAACTTTGGTGCTCAGCAGCGACTGTGTGGACCCATCTCATCTGAACCTCAAGCATCTCCAAGTTCAATTTGGGTCTCCTTCAGTGAAACATTTAGTGAGCACCTGTGTCGGGTGCTGGGATTACAAGATGAGAAAGAAATCATCCCTGTGGTCCTAGGCTGTACGGACTGGTGGGGACCCAGATGACTGAAGCACAGTGAATTAAGACCCCCAGAAAAAGGGTGGCTCTGTGGAGGCCAAGGAAAGTGTGAAGGAAGTGACCCCTGAACAGAGATTGGATCAGGCCAAGAACGGGTGGTAGGGTGCTCCGGGCAGAAACGGTGTGTTCCAGGGCACAGGGGTGTGAGAGATCACAGATTTGGTATTTTCATGGTCAGGATCTTCGCTGCAAACATTTTCACCACATAACTAATTTGTCTTAAAGCCATTTTGCCATAAAAGATAAAATCATGAAACATAAAAGAGGGACATTCGTGAAAGAGGACATAAAAGAACCTGAAAAATGAATAACAAAATTAGAAAAACTATTGTAAAAAATAATTGAATACATTTAAACTGTGTGTAGAAGATTCATGGCAATTCTATGTAAATAACTTATTTTATTTTGTGGATTGTACCTAAAAATTTGTCTTCAAAGTCTTTCGCTCATGGTATTATAGTGTTTTTGTTTTTGTTTTTTGCTTAGTGATGGGTCTCCTCATTCTTTTTTTTTTTTTTTTTTTTTTTTTTTTTTTTTACTAAAGCTTCTTCCTTATTATGAGAGGTATAGTTTTGGGCTGCCTGGCTGGCTCAGTCAGTAGAGCATCCAACTCTTTTTTTAAAGTATTTTTTTTAACGTTTATTTATTTTTGAGAGACAGAGAGAGACAGAGCGCATGTGGGGAAGGAGCAGAGAAAGAGACACACAGAATCTGAAGCAGGCTCCAGGCTGACAGCTCAGAGCCTGATGAGGGGCTTGAACTTGTGAACCGTGAGATCATGACCTGAGCCAAAGTCAGACGCTTAACTGACTGAGCCACCCAGGTGTCCCTAGAGCATCCAACTCTTGATCTCTGGGTCATGAGTTCGAGCCCCATGTTGAGTGTGGAGTCTACTTAAAAAAAAATAAAAGAGAGAGAGAGAAGGGTATAGTTTCCAAATACTAGGATGTATATTTGTAACAGAGCTTTGTACTACATTGTGAAAGTGTATTGCCTCCTATACTGTTGTTTGTTCTTGGCAGATTGTCACATGTCCACTGATAGCTGTTCCAAAGTTCTATGGGAAGTATGGGTTCAAAATTCTGCACCACCATGATCTCATCATGGGGGCTCAGATTTATTAACATAAGAACAGAGCACCATGTCAATGGAGAAATGAAACCAAACTCAACCAGTTGATAAAACCAGCTGTCAACCAATTATTTTTTTAAACTTGCATGACAAATTGCCTTCCGGCCTATTGGTAATGCAGCGAAAATGCTTACAGCAAAGGTGTTTATGGCCAAACTATCTAGAACCAAGACATCAATGCATTCTGGGCACATACAATTATAGGCACCGGAATATGGGGGCCAGGCGGGCTAGGTACAAGTTTCCAGAACAGAGGGTTTGCTTAGGATGCTAACAAGCTGGGCCTGCAGCAGGGTATTTGGGAGGGGGAGGTGACTGGATGACACTGGAGCTTTAGAAAGACCACTATGAGGGGCCCCTGGGTGGCTCAGTCAGTTAAGCATTCCACTTCAGCTCAGGTTATGATCTCACAGTTCATGAATTCAAGCCCTGCTTTGGATTCTGCATCTCCCTCTCTCTTTCTGCCCCTCCCCTGCTCATGCTCTGTTTCTCTCAAAAATAAGGAAACATTAAAAAACAAAATTAAATTTTAAAAAATTAAAAATAAATTAAAAAAAAAAAAGGTCACTATGGGCTGAAGGGAGAGACCAGAGGCCTATAAATATCCTGGACCATAGTTTAGGTGAAAACCTACGAAACCTGTGTCAGGGCAGAGCAGTAAGACTGGAGGAAGAGGTGGACTTGAGAATATTCAGTGGTGAGAAAGGGCTTATTTTCTGGGGTGATGAAAATATTCTGGAACTAGACAGTGGAAATACTTGTACCACATTATGAATGTACTGTCATTAATAATAGAGGAGGAAGGTTTGTCAGAGGAGTAGGAGAATAACCAAGGAAGAGTCTAGAAGGTCAAGGAAGGAGGCTCTGTGCAAAGGCAGCACAGGGGTCCAGAGGGGTGAGGGCTGGAGGTATTCATGGCATTTGGTTAGTACAAGGTTCTTGGTCATCCCTTAGTGAGAGGATTCTGGTGGCAGTGAGGTGTGGGGCTAAGACTAGAGTACTAAGCGAGGGAAGACTAAGAGCTGAAGAAGCAGAGGCAGCAGTTATAAACCGGCCTTGACAGAAATTGGAGGAGGGGAGTAGATACACAGAGGGGTTCAGGAGATAATGGAGGGAGGTGGGTTTGTGATTTTTCTTTCTCCTAAAAAAAAAAAAACCAAAAAAAAAAACCCAAAAAACAAAAAACAAAAACTATGAATTGTGTTTGTAGACTGAAGAGAAAGAGCCAGAATGGGGTGGGGAACAGAGATATGAAAAGTGGGGTGGCAGGCTGAATAAATGATAGCGTGAGATCGGGGCAATGAGTGATGGGCTCAGAGCCCAGGTGGACAGGCTGACCCCATTCAGCCACAGGGACTGACATCTCTAAAGTGGGGAGGGAAGCCAGGAGGATGGGTGGGGAGACAGATAAGCCTGTAGCCAGGGCAGGGCGGGAAGTAGAGGGAGTTCCCTCCAGAAAGCCGTGTTTTCTGTGAAGACGGAGCTGAGGTCATCTCCCGCAGCAGGCGGGAAGGCTGGAGCTGGGTAGGGCGAGCCTGGGATAAAAGGAAGGGAGAGGGCCCAGGCTGAGCGAGGACCTCAGCCACAGAGCCGGCAATGTGGAGCAAGCTGTCACGTCATGCGTGTCAAACGTGTGGTCAGCACGGTGTCAGGTGACCTGAGAAACTGGAGACCCGGCCCTAGTCCTCACTCTACCAGCGCCCAGTGTTGACCGTACACAAGCACCTCGTGGCACCTGAGCCTCCGTCTCCTTAAGCATAAAACAAGGTGAGGAAGCAGTGGGAGAGTCTCCCTGCTCAAGTCCTAGAGTTCTGAGAGGTCTTCCCTGACAGTACAAAGGCCTTTCTCCAGGAGCCCTGGGGAGGGAGTGGGACACTACCATGTGAGGTAGGGAAGGCGAGAGAGACGGGAAGTCCTGGGAAGCAGAAGCCCAGCAACCCACGTGTTTGCAGGGCGTGGTGCGGAGAGCTGGGGGTATGTGCACAGCAGCAGACATGCAGGGGCAGTGCAGGAGCCATGACTGTGGAGGGCTAGGACCAGTTACTAAACTATTGTTAGCCATTGGGGCGCCTGGGTGGCTTAGTCGGTTGAGCGTCTGACTTTCACTTAGGTCATGATCTCACGGTTCGTGGGTTCAAGCCCTGCGTCGGGCTCTGTGCTGACAGCCAGCTCAGAGCCTGGAGCCTGGTTCCAATTCTGTGTCTCCCTCTCTCTCTGACCCTCCCCTGCTCATGCTGTCTCTCTCTCTCCTAGAAATAAATAAAACATTAAAAAAAAATATTTTTTTAAATAAAAAAAATAAACTATTGTTAGCCATTGCATGCCCCGCAGGTAAGTTACCTCCTTTTATCTAATCTCATCTTCTGTACAGACTTTATGGGATCAATTTTCTTATCATCCCCATTCTACAGTTTGGGTGGAAAAAAGCACAAAGAAGCAAAGTGAAAGTGGCTTTTAAGCTCTGAGTTGGGTCTATGGCTTCAGACAGAGAGGCATACTTCAAACAGTGGCCAGTGCCAGTGCCTGCTAACTGGCTCTCACTTGGGCCAGTTGGTTATTTCCTTGGAGTCACAGAGACATCATCAGTCCATTAGGATGCTTACAAAGATCATGGATATCTCGTCTCCATGAGTTGCCGTGGGAGTCAAATGCCCACTAAAGCACATGGACAGGAGACCAGCAGACCGGCTTTGCTAGTGGCCATGCTGGCGCTCCCAATCCCAGAGCCACTGCTCTAAGCCCGGGCTCCGCAAACAAGCATCATCCGTGCACATCATCTCCGAAGAGCTAAACAACCGCCTACAGCCCAGTCAAGCCTGTTCTTCTGCCGAGTGACAAGAGGACCCTCTTCTGTGGGCTCTCCCCCCATTTAGCCCCCAGATCCAACAGAGCATCTTATCTTGTCTTAAAGATTCAGAATTAGCTCTAAAAGTGGATGATAAACCAGTCTTTAAAGATAGGCAGACGCCCCCCTTCCCGGGCGCAAGCACAAAACATTACACACGTTATCATAGCTTCACAGCTCGATGGGAAGCAAAGTCCAATACCCGTTTTAGATCATTTAGAAGGAAAAGTCATAACAATTTATGTTCTGTCTTCATGAATCTAACAAATTGATGATACCTCATTTGTGAACAAAAACAATGGGGGATAAGGGAGAATAAAAGATAAGAAATTTATGGTAAAACAACAAAAACCAAATTATGAAATCATTCCTTTTTTTAAAATCACTTCCCCATTCGTAACAAATAGCATCTTCTTGTTTCTAGAAAAAAAATGCATGCGACTTCTAGAACATGCTGATTAGAACTTGGCTTAGAAGAAGCATTTTATTCTAAAAGCCTTCCAAAAATGCCAGTTGTTTTTTCTCAGTTGTTATAAACATGAAGCCCAAGCGATTTGTTGTGAGGTTTAAGAATCCTGAAAAGATAGCGAAGCTAGGTAGAAAACTTTACAACTTACAGTTTTCTTGTCCTTCAAGGCCTGGACCTGGAAAAGACAGAAGAAATATGCTGATTTTCATTAGCTTTGATTATCATGAAGTTTAAGGAATGTTGGAAAGAGAATAAAAACTCACAAAGCGTAAGCGCCAGCAGAATTCCCAGCCACATCTTGCCCTCTTGGGCCACCTCCAGCTTCATCCTGAGAGCAAAGACTTGAGGCAGTTAGTTCTGTCTTCGGGCCATGCCCCTGGGGCAGAAGACACTTCCCACGTGGCACTGATAAATCTGCCCTGTGAAAGCAGAGAAACTACTCTGTAACTTCTGGCACTCCAGGCAGAGGGACTGGCCACGGTGCTGGTCAGGTAATGGCTGCCATTGCTGGAAACTGGGAACAATGAAGCATGGGCTGGCCTGATATCCCCTCAGGAAATGACTGGCCTTCCTGACCAGCCACTGACTGCAGACTCTTTGTTTTAAAGTTACACATGACATTTGCCTTAGTGCTCCCGACCCTCCTGTCTCACCTGGGTGTAGAGCCCCTTCTCAGGGCAGGGTGAGAGGGTTCTTCCCTCCTTCCAACCTCTACCCAAAGGGCTTCCCTCTGTGGAGAGATCCCAACAAGATCTGTCAGTTTCCCTGAGCCATCCCCCATCTCCTGACCCCAAACCCAATGGGCCTCTCCACACAGTGTAAATCTGGACCTCCTGCCTTTCCTGGTCATGCTATGGGACAGGGCTGACTTTTCCAGAAAATGGCAGGTTCACCAGACAGACCTGCCACTGTGGGGCAAGCTCAGCTTGGAACTTGCTGGACCTAGGAGGCTCTCCCTGGCTTCTGCGGTTGGTTTCAGTGTGAACGAAGGCAGGTCTGTGAGGTATCCATGCCTTTCGGTGGCTGACCTCCAGCCTGTAGTTTTAAACATACAGAGTATATCAGGCCACAGAGAGCTTTCTAAGACATAAATCAGGTGCTTTCATTCCCCCACTTGAAATCTTGCAACAGCTCCCCACTGCCCTCCAGGGAAAGTCAGTTTATAATCCTCCACAATCCAGCCCTTGCTTACCTCTCCAGCCGGGTGTCTCACCCATTCTTTCCTTTCCCCTACATTCTGGTTGCCAGAATTTATAGTTCCCAGAACACATCACGTGTCTGCACCTTTATCTTTGCCATACCCCTCCCTAGAGTACTCTTCCCCTCTCCTTTTCTGGCCTATTCCTACTCACGTGTCATAACTCAATTTACGTATCCACTCTTCCAGAATTCTCCTGTGTCTCTCCCACACTGAGATGCCCTTCCTCTGCATCCCTGTCTGCATTCCTCACCCCCCTGGTCTTCCCTGGGTGAGGCTTTTTCTACAGTGTGCCATAATGGCTGGTTCTCGGTCACGTGGCTGGCTGGCCCCGCATGATGGCAGGGACAGTGTCTGGTACCTCGCAGATGATCAAAAAACATTAATAGAGTGGATAATCGAGTGAATGAAGACAAGTTAACAGTATTGTCTGAATTAGACTATTACTGCACTGAGGTCAGAGGGCAGCGTTGTTTCTGAAACACTTCCCTCTGTTACTGCCGAAAGATAAATCTAAGTCAAGTTCAAACTGGAACAATAGAAACCAAAGACTTCTCTGCTGCAGGGCAAATACCAAGAAGGGATGGCTTCCAGCTAGAAAACAATTCCTTTCTCTGACCTATGGTGCAATGGAAGTTATGATAAAAGCTATCTATGAAAGAGCAACGTAGCTCTTTTTCTTCTGTTGTTTTGCATCCTCTATTCCCCCATTGTAAACTCTTTTGTTTAGCAACCTACTGGAAATTACCCCCACCCATCTACCAAATTTCTATTTGGCAAGAAAAAAGAAACACTACACCATGAGTCCTAAAATAAATGTTGGCTTCAAAGATAACTTTTGGGAGCACCTGGATAGCTCAGTCAGTTAAGCGTTGACTCAGATCATGATCTCATGGTTTGTGGGTTTGAACCCCGCGTTGGGTTCTGTGCTGACAGCTTAGAGCCTGGAGCCTGTTACGGACTGTGTGTCTCTCTCTCTCTCTCTCTCTGTCCCTCCCTAGCTTGTACTCTGTCTCTGTTTCTCTCAAAAATAAACAACAGCAATAGTAAAAAAGGCAATTTTTCTATACTGTAACCAGCCTGTGCTTCTCAAGGTGACTTTCAAGCAATGGTGATAAATGTCCCACCCAATGCCCCCTCCGGTTCCCAAGTAAACTTCTAAACCTTAGTCATTGTTTCATACACAATGCTAATAGATTTAGAACACCATGAGAAAATAAAGCTTCATTTCAAGATAAATGTTACTATTCTATTTATTTAATATTTATTTATTTTTGAGAGAGAGAAAGAGAAAGAGAGAGAGTGAGCAGGAGAGGGGCAGAGAGAGAGGGAGACAGAGGATCCGAAGCAGGCTCTGCATACAGCCTGAAGAGGATTCAAACCCATGAACTGTGAGATCAGGACCCAAGCTGAAGTCAGACACTTAAAGGACTGAGCCAGCCAGGTGCCCCAAAATAAGTATTAATACTTTATTTTTTTTTTAAACCTTTATTTATTTTTGAGACAGAGAGAGACAGAGCACGAGCTGGGGAGGGGCAGAGAGAGGGAGACACAGAATCTGAAGCAGGCTCCAGGCTCTGAGCTGTCAGCACCGAGACTGACATGGGGCTTGAACTCTTAGCATTTATATTCTTAGAATTTTATAAAAACAGAATCATACAATATGTACTATGTGTGTGTGTCGGGGGGTGGATGTTTCTATCTTCTTTCAGCATCGTCAATTATTAATTTCTTCTGATTGCTGAGTAGTATTCCATTGCATGAATATATCATTTTTTTAAAAACCATTATTTATCAATGAATTTTGAGTTGTTTCCAATTTTGAGCTAATAGAGAACTGCTATGAACATGCCTCTGTAAGGACATACACTTAAAAAGTTTTGGGGGGGAGGGCACCTGGGTGGCTCAGTCGGTTAAGTGTCCGACTTTGGCTCAGGTCATGATCTCACGGTTCATGAGTTCGAGCCCTGCGTTGGGCTCTGTGCTGACAGCCAGCTCAGAGCCTGGAACCTGTTTTGGATTCTGTGTCTCCGTCTCTCTCTGACCCTCCCCTGCTCACTCTCTCTCTCTCTCTCTCAGAAATTTAAAAAAATTGAAAAAAATTTTAATATTTATTTATTTTTCAGAGAAAGAGAGAGCGTGAGCATGGAAGGGACAGACAGAGACAGAGACACAGAATCTGAAGCAGGCTCCAGGCTCTGAGCTGTCAGCACAGAGCCCGACGCAGGGCTCAAACTCCTGAACCGTGAGATCATGACCTGAGCCAAAGTTAGAAGCTTAACCGACTGAGCCACCCAGGTGCCCCTGTACAGACATACACTTTGATTTCTCTTGGGTAAATAAATAGCCAGGAGTAGAATGCCTGAGTTATATGGTAGATGTATGTTTTAACATTTTAAGAAACTGCCAACTATTTTCCAAAAGTGGCTGTATACTATCCTACACTGCCGCCAGCAAGGTATGAGAGTTCTAGTTGTTCCGCATTTGTTACCAACCTGGGTCCTTGGACTCTCCAAGGAACAGAAATTTACTAGCAGCCAAACTAGAAGTTCCAGACAAGGCCTTTTATTGGGGTTTATGCTGGAGCTCAAGGGAGACAGCACAGGGAAAAGGTCTTCATGCTCGCACTCTGAACAAAGGCTGGGGGAAGTTTTTAAAGAGGCTGAGGCAGGTAGGGAGTGCCGTCTAACAGGTAAAGGTGGAAAGAGATACAGATCGCAGTGCGATGGACACAAGGTGCTTTGCCATGCATGGCATGATGGGGGGCAAAGTCGGTGAAAGTTCAGTGCTGGGCCCATCCTAGCACAGACTGGTTTGGGTTCAGTCTTCACCAGTCTGGGTCGTGGCATCCCTCTGGCAAGCAGCCTCCTTCTGCATTCCTGCAAGGTGTGCTCATCAGAGGCACTGGCTCTCAGCTATCAGAGAATGCTGGATTTTGTGGTCTGAGTTGAGGGCGCTGGAGTCCAATCCCTGCTCTGTCTCGATTTGAGCTATTTTAGGCCCTTTGTCCTTCCCTGTGCATTTTTTTTTTAAGATTTTTTTTTTTAATGTTTTTATTTATTTCTAGGAGAGAGAGAGAGAGTGTGAGCAGGGGAGGGTCAGAGAGAGAGGGAGTCACAGACTGAAACAGGCTTCAGGCTCTGAACTGGCAGTCAGCACAGAGCCCGACGCGGGGCTCAAACCCACGAACTGCGAGATCATGACCTAAGCGAAAGTCGGACGCTTAACCGACTAAGCCACCCAGGCGCCCCGTTCCCTGTGCATTTTAAAATCAATTTCTCTGGGCAACTTTGTGGCTCAGTCGTTAAGCCTCTGACTTGGGCTCAGGTCACGATCTCACAGTTCGTGAGTTCAAGCCCTGCATCAGGCTCTGCGGTGATAGTGCAGAGCCTGCTTACGATTCTCTCTGCCTCTCTCTCTACCCCTCCCCCATTTGTGCACGTGCGTGCACTTTCTCTCTCACTCTTTCTCAAAATAAATAAATAAACTTAAAAAAAAATCAACTTCTCAATTTCTGTCTAAAAAAAGGCCTTCTGAGATTTTGGCTGGAATGGTATTCAATCTGTAAACTGCTTGGGGAGAAGTGACATCTTAGACTTACCGAGTATCCTGGCCCACGGACACGACACACCTCTTCACAAACAGCAATGTTTTTGTAGCTTCCAGTGTGCTTTTCTTTATAAACCTTGTGTCTTTTTTAGTTTTGAAGTCATGTAAATGTGTTACCTATTAAAAATCAAATTATGAAATGAAAGTCTAAAATAAAAAGCTGTGTCTCAGGTGCTGGAAATCGTTTGGAAAGACTGTCTGTCGTACCCACCCCACTCCGGCCGGGACAATAGTACAGGGTGACTTGTGCTGAGACCCCGGGAGCCAAGTCAGTAAGAGGCTGATCCTTCACAGGAGAGCCTCCCCACCCCCGCTCTCTCTGTGCCTGTCTCCCTCTCCCTCTCCTTCTGTGGGAACCACTCTTTCTAGTTCTCCTAGCAAGCTCTTCCTCCTCTCTCCCCCTCACCGGGGCTATGATGTAAAAACTGGAGTGTATATTCGCCCTCATTTATTTTATCCATTGAAAAGATGATCATGCTCCTTATTCTTTATTTGTGAAGTCTGAATGTCTTATTAAAAATTAAAAATATATAAATGGAAAGTTTCCTAGTTCAGTTTTTTAAAAATTACCAGTTAAGGGGCACCTGGGTGGCTCAGTCAGTTAAGCATCAGACTTTGGCTCCAGTCATGATCTCAGGGTTCATGAGTTCGAGCCCCACATCGAGCTCTCTGCTGTCAGCACGGAGCCTGCTTCCGATCCTCTGTTTCCCTCTTCCTCTGCCCCTCTCCTGCTTACAGACTCTCTCTCCCTCTCAAATAAATGTTAAAAAAAAAATCAGATGCGTGGCTTTTTATATGTGTGTAGCCCTCACATATCTGCTTGGTAACTAATTAAGAAACTATATTTCTTCTTACAGCACTGCTTCCTTCTTCTTCTTGGTAAAATGAATAACAGAATGGTTTCTACATTCTGTGCTTCTGCCTTTGAATACCAGGGCAATCACACAGATCTGTAACACAGCAATTCATTAGCCACAGGAAGTAAAAACTGCTTGCTATAATAAATCTCAGGAAGTTCTTTTTCTGAGAAGCTAGGAGTGGGGTAGGGAAGGAAGAGTGGGGGTGGAAAGAGATAGGGGTTAAGGGAGGAGCAGAGAGAGATAGGGAATCCCAAGCAAGGCTCCACATTGTAAAAGCAGAACCCGACACGGGACTTGATCTCACAAACCCTGAGGTCATGACCTGAGCCGAAATTAAGAGTTGGACACTTAACCGACTGAGCCACCCAGGTGCCCCAATTAACATTTAATAAAAAAAAATAATAAAACCAAAATTAAAAAAAGAAAGACAATAATAAATGTTGGTGTGGATGGACATTGCTGGTGGGATTGTAAAAAGATGCAGCCACTTTGGGAAGTTTAAAATCTAGAGTTGGCCATATAACCCAGCAGCAATTGCACTCTTAGGTATTTATACCCAAAGGAAATGAAAACATGTTTACACAAATACTTGTATGCAGAGGTTTATAGCAGCATTACAAATAATACCCAAAAAGCAGAGGAACTCAAATGGCTATCAACTGATGAATGGGTAAATAAAATGTGTTGTATGCATGCAATAGAATATTATTTGGCAGGAAAAAGAATGAAGGATTGATACCTGCTACACTGTGGATAAACCTTGAAAACGTCATGCTAAGTGAAACATGAAAGGCCACATGTATATGATTCTTATTTATACGATATGTCCAAAGTAGGCAAATCAATATATAGAGAGAAACAGCTTAGTAGTTTCCTAAGGCTGGGAGAGTTAAGGGAAAGAGTGACTATGAATGGGTATGAGGGTTCTTCGTTGGGGTGATTAAAAAGTTCTGAAAAATGGGGCACCTGGGTGGCTCAGTTGGTTAAGTTTCCAACTCTTGATCTCAGCTCAGGTCTTGAGCTCAGGGTTGTGAGTTCAAGCCCCACAGTGGACTCTAGGCTGGGCATGAAGCCTACTTAAAACAGTTCTAAAAGTTGAGTGTGATAATAGCTGCACAATTCTGTCAATAGACTAAAGACCATTGAATTGTACACTATAAACAGTTAAACGTTATGGTGTGTGAAATACACCTCCATAAACTGTTATTTTTTTACAAAGTTTTATTTAATGTTTACTTATTTCAGAGGGAGAGTGTGAGCAGGGGAACGGCAGATAGAGAGGGAGACACTTGAGGCTCTGGGCTGTCAGCACAGAGCCTGACCTGGGGCTCAAACTCACAAATCGTGAGATCATGACCTGAGCCAAAGTCAGATGCTTGACGGACTGAGCTACCTAGGTGCCGCTGTGTGAGCCACTGGGCCACAGCAGCGGATTTGCTCTCCATGGCTGGCCTCAGGCTGACCTAGACTACGTGGGGGCTGATAGAAAACCGGCGTCAGCCCCTAGCCCATTGAGGCAAGATACAGCACTGAAGGGAGGGCAGACCCAAAGCCCCAGTGGAGGAGACCAGGGCCTGAGGAGCCCACAAAAGTATAGGAAGAAGCGTGTGTGTGTGCGTGTGCGTGTGTGTGTGTGTGTGTGTGTGTGTGGTGGTGGTGGTGGTGGTGGTTTGAAGGGTCTGCATGCTCTTGTGTGAGCGGTGGTTTGGGTTAGAAGTGAGCTGGGCCAGGTGTCCTGAGAAGCCCCTGACAATGACCTCTGAGCCGCCTTGGTAGGACTGATCCGATTTAGCAAATAAAAACGCCTGATCCCCACTTACAACTGAATTTCACAAGAGCACTAAGTCATTTTGTAATAGAAGTACATCCCACATATTGCATAGGACAGACCAGAAAATGATTTGGTTTATCTGAAATTCAGACGTACGTTATCTGTATCCTGTATTTTATCTGACAACTGTCACTCAGGACCCCCCTTTTTCAGGAACGCTTATACCAGAGTGGAATCAGGTGCAAAAACACTAGAACGTTCAGGGGGCCGAAGCACTACAGTTCCCCATATATTTCTTTCTCAGGTTATTGAGGGGACTTGAGGGAAAACAGGCACTAAGTGGGGCTGCAGATGGGAGGCTGTGTCAGAAATGCTCTGCTCCAGGCCTGGCCCAGGACCAGGAGGGCAGGAGGGGACTCATTAGGAGTCACCATTTAATCAAACAGCAAAGATGTGCCTGCAGAGGGATGGCCTCTTCCTTAGCAGGCACCCTGCTACACACCAGGAAAGATGAAGTCCTGGCCCTGCCCTCGAGGGATTTGGAGGCTGATTTATCAATAGATTATTCAACAGAGTCAGGCATGCTGGGAGAAGCTCCCCCCAGAAGACAGAAAGTGAGAAGTGGCCTTCCCTGGATATGACTCTCTGATTTTCCCCCATCAGTCTAAAGTGGAAAAACGATATCTACTTCTACAACCAGTGCCTTTATCCATCTCCTTGACAACTGATTTTATCCTCTGACTTCTTCCCAGTTTGGAATCATCCGCAGAGAGAATCCCAAGCAGGGCTTGATCCCAATCGCAACCTGAGCCGAAATCAAGAGTCAGACGCTCAACCCACTGAGCCACCCCGGCGCCCCTGAATCATCCACAGATTTTATGAGAAGGTCAGCAGGATTCTCATCCAAGTCATTAACAAAAATATTCAGTAGGTGAATGAAGATACAGCCCTATGGCACTTGACGGGAGATTTGCCCCAGGCTGCTCTTAATCAAAATTCTTTTGATATAAATGTTCAGCAAGCTACAAGTCCCCTTCCTCTGCCCTCATGTATCCCACACACGTCCATGAGGACATGAGGCTTCCTTGTGATGATGTCATAGATGCCTTTGTCAAACCCAAAAGTACATCCATTAGAGGGTGACCACCCTCAATACCATCCAGGCAGCGGTGGTAACAATAACAATAATAAGGGAATACATTTTTGTCTTCACTCTCCTTTTCGCTATCCTTTCTATTCAGGACAAAATAAACTTCGCTAAAATAAGAGGAAACCTTGATTGGTTTATCGTAAGTTGAAGGAAAAAATTACCCTGCCAGGAACAACTTCTTGGTGAACGTGTGCAGGGGTGGGGGGGGGATGGGGGTTGGGAATGGTCGTGATACATCTCAAGATCAGTAGGACGAATTTTAGATACAAAGAGTGACTTTGGTTTAAAGTACAGGCAGTTTCCAGCTTATCATCAGGTTTTGATCCAGAGGTTTGTTTTTAAGTTGGCTGTTGAGCAAATACTAAATGTACTCAAAAAGCAGTCTGACAAACACTGATTAGGTTCTCTGCTCAACCCCGACAAGCCCTTTATTGGCAATGAAGCTGAGATTGTAACTGAGCCCCAAGTTTCTTCATGTACCCAGCTTTGAGCCCCTCACTATCAGGGGGGAGGTCTGGGCACTTTCCCTTCCCTGCCCAGGGAATCAGGAGGTATTCCCTGTGTGCAGGGATTATTTTGAAGCCCACTGTCTATAACTTAAAGGCATGTTTTAATACAGCGTAGTCTCCTCTTTTGGGGGACTTTCCAGCAGGCATGGTATCCCCCATCCCTCATATCACCCCATCAGTTCCTGGAGATTCCCACCTCTATGAGTGCCAGAGCCTTACTTTGCCCGGGAAAAGGTGGCAGCCATTTCTCCAAACTGTCTTCTTAAGCCTAACTCCTTAGGCTCTAGAAATCCATCCTTCTCCTAATATTTTACTATTAGAGACTGAGGAGAAGTAGCAGAAAACATAGAAAGTAAGAGAAGTACGAGGTAGGAATGTTGGCTGATACCATCTCTTTACAGTTTGTCCTCTGGCATACATAGGCATTGGGGATTTAAGAGAGAAAAATACTTGAAAATATTTAAAACATTACCAACCGGGGTGGCTCTCAGTCCAGCTTGTGTGTAGCGCTTGGTCCTTTCTCTTGGGGCTGGCAGAAGGGTAGGTCAACTTCTTATGATCAACCATCACCTCAGCTTGAACAGGAAGCCTGGTTGGCGGAGCTGCGGAGAAAGCAAAAGCCGGGACTGTGTAAGCCTGAACCGAAAGGATGTTCTCTTCTCATCTGTCAGCCAGTCCCTCCATTGCCTGCCTTGAGAGGAACTAGGAGCTCCTGCTAATATATTGCCTCTTAGAAGCTTCTTCTCTCCACCGTTTTGGCCTGGCAAGTCTGTGCTATTCCTGGGCTGGGCCTCCAAGTATTGGAAGGGTGAAGGCAACCTTGTTCTCTTCCAGTATCTAACCTGAAACCCCCTAAAATGTCCCGAGTTTAAAAGGTGGGGGAGATAGAGTATCCTAAAATCAGAGATCACAGGAGCCTTGATATCCACCCTCTGTAAAACTCCAGCAGAATATTTATTAGGTATGTAAAAACTTCACGTGTGTCTATGCATCCCCTACAATCTTTTCCTAGCGAGTTAAGATGGCTCACACCTCAATAAAGAAGTGTATAGAGCTTCAGGGGCACCTGGGTAGCTCAGTCAGTGAATCAGTGAAGTGTCCGACTTCGGCTCAGGTCATGATCTCGTGGTTCGTGGGTTCGAGCCCCGTGTCAGGCTCTGTGCTGACAGCCAGCTCAGAGCCTGGAGCCTGTTTCAGATTCTGTGTCTCCCTCTCTCTTTGACCCTCCCCTGCTCACGCTGTCTCTCTCCCTCTCAGAAATAAATAAAAACATAAAAAAAAAAAAGAAGTGTATAGAGCTTCAATAAAGTCTTCGTTGAAACAAACAAACGAAATTATGGAGAGGGCTCAGACCTCAGCTGTTCAGAGTTTAGGGAACGGTGGAGGCTGAGGAGACTGGGCCAGGCCTGATAGAGCCGCCTGTGAGGGTCATGCCCAGGAAGGGTCAGGGCAGGTGTTAAGGGCTAGACCTGGCCTGCGTCATGAAGCAGGCAGTACAGGAGGAGGGCCCAGTGCAAGGACTGAGAACAGATGGGTGCAGATCACATCAGAACTCTTACAAGTGTCGGCAGAGGGCACTTGCGGCCTCCAGGCAAGAGCTGGAAATGCCCAGACACCTGCAAGGCTCTTCTAAAAGTCATGACAGTCACACCTGGTTTCTTTTGTTGTCAGGGTTACTAGATTGTCAAAACCATAAAAACCTGTTAGGTACAGGGCTCCTGGATTTCGGCGAGACATCTAACCAGGTCTGTCCTGGAGCCCTTGTGGAGAAGTACGTGCAATCTGTGATTTGTGGGACAATTAAATCAGAAGAGTTTTTCATCAGGAACGCGTGGGTGCCTCAGTCAGTCAAGCGGCCGACTTTGGCTCAGGTCACGATCTCACAGTTCATGGGTTTGAGCCCTGTGCCCGGCTCTGTGTTGAAGCTCAGAGCCTGGAGCCTGCTTCAGATTCTGTGTCTTTCTCTCTCTGCCCCTCCCTTGTTCATACTCTGTCACTCTCCCTCAAGAATAAACAAACATTTAAAGAAAAAAAATTACACTTCTGATCTTAGTTCCCAGAGACCATTGAAGCAGCCTCCAGGCACTGAGCTGCCACCAATCGTGAGATCACGACCTGAGCCCAGGTCAGATGCTCAACTGATTGAGCCACCCAGGCACCCCTGTGAAGGTTTTTAAAGATAGCTGAGGGAGGAAGGGAGATGTTTCTAGAGGGCTGTGGAGCATCCCGCGGGCTGATGTGGGGCAAACACAGCCTCCAGCAAGAGGGCAAGTGTGCAAGCCAGTTCCCCCAGGGACTCTCTCTAGGGGAAAAGTGTACATGTTGAACATCTCTTCATCTTACTGATAAATAAGCTATTAAGAAGGAAAATATTTGTCAAAACCAATGCCCAGTGGGTCAGAGCAGTGTACCTGCTGATTGCCAGGGTTAAAGACAAAGGAAAGAAGGAAGTTTTTGTCATTGCAAAGGTGATTAAGTGGCCTCTGTGGCTTGTGTGCTGGTATCACAGTTCTGGCTCGATGCTAAGAAGGGCCATGAAGTTGTTCCCGGAGTAATGAACATGTATCTGTGTCCCCGTTGAAGAAACTTGAGCAGACCTGTCTGACCACTCGGACAGCAAGCAGGACGGGAACCAAAACAAAAAGCAAAACAAAATGTAGCCAAAGAGCTCACAGTCTCATGTGGTGCCAGCAAGGGGGGCAGAATGACAAAAGTCCCGGATGTGACACACAGAACTCAAGAAGAGAGGAGCCCATCTGAGAGTGAGGGAGACAGAGCAAGACTGATAGAAAGTCCCCTTCAAACAACCTTCAGTGAAGCCCTGCATTATTTTAATTTTTATTTTTTAATGTTTGTCTTTGAGAGAGAGAGTGAGTGGGGGAGGGGCAGGGAGAGAGGAAGACACAGAATCTGAAGCAGGCTCCAGGCTATGAGCTGTCAGCACAGAGCCTGATGTGGGGCTCAGACTCAGGAATTGTGAGATCATGACCTGAGCTGAAGTCGGATGCTTAACCAACCAAGCCACCCAGGTGCCCCAGCCCTGCATTATTTTAAATTGACTTGGAGAAGGGTTTCTGTTAATTGACTTGAAGTTTTTTCAGGAGAAAAACAAGACTCTCAGAGAGGTTAGTACACTTGCCCAAGGTGCCACAGCCAGTTTAAGTGGTAAAATCTGTTGGAGTGTTGGATGTCTGACTCCAAGGCCTGAACTCCTTGCACAAATGCCTTAGGAAAAACAACATTTCAGGGGCGCCTGGGTGGTTCAGCCGGTTAAGCATCCGATTTTGGCTCAGGTCATGATCTCACGGTTCATGGGTTCAAGCCCTGTGCCGGGCTTTGTGCTGACAGCTCAGAACCTGGAGCCTGTTTTGGATTCTGTGTCTCCCTCTCTGTATCTGCTCCTTCCCTGTTCATGCTCTGTCTCTCTCTCTCTCAAAAATAAATGTTAAAAAAAAATTTTTTTTAATTAAAAAAGAAGAAGAAGAAGAAAAACATTTCAGGGCTTCTTGAAATGCCCCACAATAGGAAAATCTTTGGCTTTGAACAAAGACCAAAGGAGTTAGAGTCTGAAAAAGGCGAAGAACACAGAGCATGAAATATTTATTTACCAAGGTTATTCTAGGATGTAATCCTTCAATTTGTTCTATACAACTGTCTTGATGTTTCCTGTTTCTTTAGAGCTTCATTACCTGATTAAACAAAATTAAAATAAATAGATGCATACAAATAAAAAAGGCAGCCAAGTTGGGGTATGAGAATATGCACAGGAAACAGTGCTAATAGACAGACGTGGGGTTCATGTGATTTAGGACCAAGTTGAGAGCCTGTGTAAACACTTCTAATACTGAGAATGTGAGAACATGTGGGGCTTTCTAAATGGATCCATCACACTTCAATGATCTGCTTTAATTAGAGCTGTTTACTCTTTTTTTTTTTACTGGCTTTTTTTTTTTTTTTTTTTGAGAGAGAGAGAGAGAACACACATGAGCCAGGGAGGGGCAGAGAGAGAGGAAGATAGAGAATCTCAAGCTCCATCTCATGAACCATGAGATCTAATAAGAGCTGTTTCAAAAGACATCATTTGTCTAGAGAAATAAAAAACATGTTAAGACACCTGGATAGCTCGGTCAGTTAAGTCTCTGACTCTTGATTTCAGCTCAGGTCATGATCTCATAGTTGTGAGATAGAGCCCTGCATCAAGCTCCTCGCTGGGCATGGAGCCTGGGCATGGAATTCTCTCTTCCTCTCTCTGTCTCTCCCCTGTTGGTTTTTTCTCTCTCTCTCTCTCAAAAAAAGCATGTGTTCACACAAATATCTGTACATTAATGTTCACAGCAGCTTTATTTATAATTCCAGCTTTTCCAAAAAAGCTGCAATCAGCCCAGAGTTCCTCCAATGGGTGAATGGTTAAACAGTAGTATATCTACACTATGGAATATCTCTCGGCAATAAAAAGGAATAAACTATTAACAACAGACTGAGCAAATCTCCAGGAAAATGTGCTGGGCGAGAAAAGCCAATCCCCTAAAATGTGATTCTACCTCTGACATTTCTAAGGTAACAAAAAATTTTAAAATAAATAAATAAAGTAACAAAATGTTGTGAACGGAGGGCAGATGGCTTCCCGAGGCTGCGGGTGGGGGTGGGGCGGGAAGCGCATCGGTATCTGCATCTGTATCTGGACTGTGGCGGCAGATCCAGAAGGCTACATGAGTGACCAAGCTGCACAGAATCTGACATACAAAGACACAAAATACAGGCGAAAATGGGGAGATTAAATAAGATCATGGGTGGCGTCAACGTCCATGCCCTGCTTGTGATATTATATTGTAGTTTTGCAAAATGTTACCAATTGGGAGGAACAAGGCGAAAAGTGTACAGGGTTTTCCCTATATGTTTTGTTACAAATGCATGTGAATCCACTATTATCTCAATCAAAATCTCTGTTTTCTAAAAAATGGACCAGTTCCCTATCACTGAAGGATTCAACTTCTGGTTGGCTGCTCTCTGACCCACATTCAGCGGTCCCTTTGGCCTTCAACTCTCTAGTTCTCCACTTACTCAGGTGGTGATGGGGAAGCTGAGCATTACGTGAAAGTCTTCCATTTCTTCTTCTTCTTCTTTTTTTTTAAGTTTAATTATTTCTTTTCAGAGAGACAGAGACAGTGTGAGTGGGGGAGGGGCAGAGAACGAGAGAATCCCAAGCAGGCTCTGCTCAGGGTTTGAACCCACGAAACCTCGAGATCATGACTTGAGCTGAAACCAAGAGTTGGACGGTTAGCTGACTGAGCCGCCCAGCTGCCCTGAGAGTCCTGCGTTTCTGCTGGTCCCACGGGCACAGAGCAAATCAGGGAGAACACGAACGCTCTCCTCCAAGAGGCTCATTTTCTTGTACTGAAAGGAAGAGGTGATCTGAGCTGCTCTGAAGGCATTTGGCAAGACCACGTCTGTCACTATCTGCTTCTCCCTCACGCTGGGGCCCTCCTGGGATCTAGGAGTTCAGGCCACTCCACTGACAAAAATAAAACATGAATATTCACACTGCTACTTAGAACCTGGAAAAAACTTGGAAATCTTCTCTCAGGGTGGCAAGGAACAAACATGTTCCAAATAATGGGACATCCTAGGTGGAAAGTGAACAGAAACATTTTGAGACCGAGGAAAGAGCATGGATGTTCGAGGAGGTAAAGACAAGGTTTTGAACATTATTCTAGAGATACACTGAAATGCCCCAGCTCTTAAGTGGAATGTCTCCCTCGCAGATAATTCCATGATCAGTTGCACCAGAAAATGATCCTCATGTGGAGCTCTGGAACAATGAAGGGATAAATGTAAGGTGTCCTTAATCCCCTCTTCCCCCATAGATGAGGCCAAAGACCCATTCCTTAGGCTAGCTTGCAGAGACGGTCCCTGAGGTTGGCCATGGCTTACCTGGGCAGTCAGAGAAGGGCCTGCTGAGTCTGACAGTGTCTCAAGAACTCCTTCCTGGTCAGGAAGCTTCCTTCACTGTCTCTGGGGTCCCCACTCATCGTTTGCCCAGTGTCCTCCCATCAAGGACCTGGGTGTGATATCAGGCCCAGGGTGCCCTGAGCCAATGGCCTGAGCACTGGGCCCACCCCAGCAGAGCCAGCTCTCACCGAGCCCCAGGTGACACCCCCTGAAACTCACGTGAATGTGGAAGTGATGACACAGTGTGCCTGCTCTCTGAACACCAATCACCCAGGCATTTACATCTCCCCCGCCCCCCTCCCGCATCTGCCCTCCATCTGCCAGCCTTACCCTCCGAGAACAGATTTCTCTCGGGTGGGGGGTGGGGGAGCTCCGCGAGTGGGTAGGCACATGCAATGGAAGAGATCCTGCCCTGCCCATGATCACATCCACCTGGCCCTTGTTAGAAAGGCTCTGCCCACACAAAGGGACTTAAGACTTTAAGTTCTCTGCCGCTAACACAATGCTACCTGCGACTGCCCGAGAGCCCATTTTTAAAACGCAGCTAGGGAAGCTGAAGGAAGGGGGAAAGCCGGGGCCCCAGTTCAGCCCCGGAGGCTGCATTGTTCTCGGGCCTCCGCTTACCCAGAAGGCCCCCATCACCCCTGGGGAATCAAACGAGCTTGTTTTTCCCAAGATCCAGCCCTTCAGGTGTGAGCTGCGGTTCTTGGACAAAAGTTGCTGTGGCATTTCTGCAACAGGAAAGAGGAAGGAACTTCTGAGCTCTGAGCAATGGCATCAACAATGTGCGCCCCCCACCAGCAGCAGCAAAGAGGAAAAGAGCTCAGTTTCCATAGCGATAAATCACCAGGAAGCCAGAGAGGGATAGTCCGCAGGAGGACTTTTCCCTTCCTCTGGTTCTCTGCACACACATTCCCAGCTCCGGCGTTGGTCTGTGGCCTGGTGCCTCTCCAAGCTGAGCGTGCAGAACCGCAGGTAGAGGAAGAAAGAGGAGGTTTCTGCCAGATGGAAACCCGCACCGAAAATCCTCTGCTACCGAGGGCACCGGGGAAGGGGAGCCGGCTCCTCTTAAAGGCATGCGTGGGACACAGGTGCCAGGAAGACCCAAGGGCCCTGCACTGTGTCACACCTGGGTGGCCACATGCCATCTTCAAAGCTCTTCAATGTATGCCACATCCGTTATTCTGTTTTGTTATCTTACATCATGCCTCACATGATCCCGTGCTGTTATGTAAGCCCTACAGCACAGGGATGATTATTAGCCCTTTATGACAGAAAAACAGGTCTGGTGAGGGAGAGAGATGGGCCAGAGACAGCTGGTCCAGGTAAAACAGTGCCTGAAATTCAGATTTAACTGAATGTCTTTTTTTTTTTTTGCCGAGTTTCAGCAATATTTATATTTATGTAAATATTTGCTATATTTTGTAAATATGTAGAGTTGTACAACCATCACCATGATCTGGTCTTAGAACATTTCCATCACTCCAAAAGCTTCCTCTTGCCCATTTTCAGTCAATCTCTGATCCCTCCCCACGTCCCAGGCAACCTCAGGTCTGCATTCTGTCTCTACACATTTCAGGGATGCTGTATTTTTAAGTGGAGGGGCTCAGCTGCTACACAACTTAGCCTAAAATTTAAGTATTTGCTCGAGAGTTTCATTTCATTTTTCTTTCTTTTTTTTTAAATGTTTATTTATTTTGAGAGAGAGTGAGCATGAGCAGTGGAGAGGAGGAGAGAGGGGGAGACACAGAATCTGAAACAGGCTCCAGGTTCTGAGCTGTCAGCACAGATCCTGACGCGGGGCTTGAACCCATGAACTGTGAGATCATGACCTGAGCCAAAGTGGGACGCTCAACCGACTGAGCCACCCAGGTGGCCCAGGTTTCGTTTTTTAAAAGTGAAACCATTTTTTAAGTGAAGCAGGAGACTGGCTGCCCCAACGGGGCTTGGTTTGTTTCTTGCATCCAAGCAGTCTGACAAGGTGGTGTGTGTTATTTGAATCTCTCAGTGTTTACAGATCGCATGGGTAATGTGGCTCTGGTGAGGCTGAGAACCCTCTAGCCTAGCATTGAGAGTGGAGACACTTTCCAGGCCCAGCCAGGGCAGGCCAGAAGGATGGGAAGGGCTCTCAGGCAATCAGAAAGGGTCATTCAAGGACACTGGATGCTATACTGGCGAAATGCTGGTCCTTAGCTACCTGGGCCCAGTCTTGGAGTGATCTGATTGAAATATTACATGTCAAGGTGCTTAACAGCATGCCTGGTGCGTAAACAGTAGCGGGAAAACAGCCTTCCCTGAATTCAGAATTCATCTGACACGTATGGCTGAAGCATCTTGATCTGAGGATATGCATGAAAGATGGCCTTGCTTTAAGAAAGTTAACTCTTGGGGCACCTGGGTGGCTTGGTAGGTTAAGCGCCTGACTTCAGCTCAGGTCAAGCGCAGGTTTGTGAGTTCAAGCCCCGAGTTCAGCTCTGTTCTGACAGCCTGGAGCCTGCTTCATATTCTGTGTCTCCCTCTCTCTCTGCCCCTTCCCTGTTCATGCTCTGTCTCTCTCTCTCAAAAAATAAAATGAATATTAAAAAAAAATTTTTTTTAAAGAAAGTTAATTCTTTAGCTGCTAACATTGACTGAGCACTAATTGTGTGCCAGCATTTTCTAAGTGCTTTATTTGTGTTAACATCTAATCATCACAAACACTGTAAGGCGGATACTATTATTCTCCCTAACTTGCCTATGAGGAAGTGGAAGCTCAGAGAGCTTAAGTAGGTCCCCCAAGGTTGGGCACACAGCTAGTGCTAGTTGGGGCCTAGAAGAGCCTTTTCTTACCACTACTTATTGCCCCCCACGATATGGTGTGGCAAGTTCTGTGGAAGCCCAGAAAGCAAGGTGTCCGAGCCCCTGGGAAGGAGGGGTGAGGCATTTCTACTGAGGAGTTAGCTGGCTAAAGAATTAGGGAACAGCATTCCAAGCAGAGGGAGCAGCATATGCAAAGATAAGAGGCAAGAGAACATGGCATGATGAAGAGTGACTAATGAGGCTTAGGACAAATGACATTTCAAAAAAACTAGAATTTTCCTTGGGAAAAACAGTCCTATTTGGTCTGTTTTGGACAGTCTCAGATGACAGTCCTAAAGACCTTTGATTTGGATTTCAGATAAGTAGCAAATATTTTTAGTGTAAGTATGCCCCAAATATTGCATGGGATATATTTACACTAAAAAAATTTGTTGTTTATCTGAGATTCAAATTTAACTGGGCATCCCATATTTTATCTGTCAATCTTAATAAAAGTCATTGAATTGTATACTTCTTTTTTCTTTCTAAGTTTATTTTATTTATTTTGAGAGAGAGAGAGCAAGAAGAGGAGAGAGGCAGAGAGAGAGGGAGAGAGAAAAAGGATCCCAAGCAGGCTCAGAACTATTAGTGGAAAGCCTGATGTGTGGCTTGAACCCCTAAGCTGCTAAATCATGACCTGAGCCAAAATCAAGAGTCAAACACTTAACTGGCTAGCCACCTGGGCTCCCCTGAAGTGAATTCTAAAGGGTAAATTTTATGGGATGCAAATTATACTTCTTTGTAAATTTAGCACAGTGCCTAGAATAACATTATTGCTTGAAGAAAAGTAAAGCTTTTCCTTCTGCACACCCTCTCTACTCCTTCCCCACTTTCACTTCTGGCAAAACACAACTATAAAAACGACCAACAGCTCAGGAACCCATAGATGCCACCAGGGTAGAAGTTGAAACAGTTGTTATAGCTTTGTTTTCCTGGGCCGTAGGGCCTGCAGAAGGCAAGCCCTCGTGGTCGGAAACCACAAGGTAAATCTGCAAGTTTGGAGGAGCAGGTCTCTGCTTTCTGGGTCCTCCAAACACTAAAATACCTCCACCCCACCCCTTGCTAATTGCTGCCAAGCAATTCAGTTCTTATGGGCTGGGTGGGCACTGAATGCCCTGCACAGGCCAGAACCAAGGCTAAGAAAATGAGTATGCATTTAAAAAATACCATCTTAAGAACTGAAAATATAGTCCATACCCACTTGCCGCCACCACACACACACACACACACACACACACACACACACCCCAGCAGCAGCAGCAAGAACAAAAAGAAAAACTCTTCCTCAGTTCCTTCTATGGGAGAGAAACTTTTTCACTTCCTCCAATAAAATTAACTTTCTGGTATCTGTGCAGTTTGCCCATAGAATTGTATTCTGTAACCAGTGAGAAAATATACCTTTCTAAAACTAGCATAGTGGCTCCTCATGGTAAACACAAAACCACCTGCTGGTAGGTCTGGCTTCAAGCCATCCAAGTACCAAGTTCTGACCAACGGTCAAAATTATGATAATCTGTTCTTTTAATTCACCCCATCTGAGATCAGTTCTTTTCCTGAATGAAAAGGACTCATCAACATTCTACTCTGTCCTCTTTACTTCCCTGGTCCCTGTCCCAGAGGATTTCACAAAAACCACCCCCAAACACTGGGTGCTTCAGTGATAATTTGTAAACCTATAAACCTAAGAGTCCTGTTGTTTAGCTCACCAACTATATAAACAGGGTGATTTGAGCGTTTTGAACAGGGGAGAGATGCTCTCATGGGCAGTCTCATTGTTAGCCTAAAGGTAAAGCCAGACTAAAGGTTCCCAGCATGGGTACTCTCAGGGTGAGCAGCAGGTGGGTCAGAGAAAGAGATTCGAAGGGGCTGCCTGTGGATGAGGTGACACATGCTGAAGAAAAACCCAGTAATAGTAACTGACCTTTATCAGAGTATACTAAGTGATTTTATATGCACTATGGCCAGGTCCTGTGTCAGTGCAGCTAACAGTAACTCACCCATAGTTCCATGGCTGGTCAGGGGCTGACCCCAGGGCCCTTGTTCCTACCCACCCAGTTCAAGTTTGTCCTGTTTTTAGCCGGAGTTATATCATCTTAGCAAGGTTGTCCCTTGTCCATTAGAAACTTTAACCAATCAACTCCATACACATATACATACAAAACAGAAAAATCATTAACATTTAGCTAATGCCATCTGGGATAAAATTATCCTAATAATGAGATTTGTGGAATAAAAATAATGGGGGGGGGTGGCGCCTGGGTGGCTTAGTCGGTTAAGCGTTCGACTTTCGATTAGGTCATGATCTCGCGGCTCGTGGGTTCGGCCCCC